GTCCTCTTTGTAAATATTTTTTCATGAAATGCTTAACTTGCGATGTCTCACCCCACCCCCTCCCTCCTCCAGTTCAAAAATAAAAGTCAAAGACGATCCACATTTTGACCGTTTTTTGTTTTTTCATGATTTCTTTATGATGAGATATATTTCATTGGGAGACACTCAGAGGATAAATGCACATGTTGAGCCATTTAAAAAATGGATATAAAAGGAACAAATTTGTAAAGGCTTCATGAAATGATTGTTTAGAAAAATTAAATGGTAAATAAACAGACACAACTTACACTTTATATTTAAAAACATTTACAAAGGGGGTAATGTTTATTTCTTACTGCGTATTTGATGCCCAAACAGCTCAGCAGATTGGAAATGTCTATAAAAACAATTAAAACCATAGCAGCCTGATAATTTAATGATCTAAGAGCGACAGTAGAGAGGAAAAAACCCTCTTAACAGGATGAAACCTACAGCAGAAACAGGCTCAGTGTGAGTGGCCATCTTCCAAGTACTAATGGGGTTCAAGGAGACAGAAGCAGATGTACAGAAAGAAGCAGAGATACAAAAGGTAAATGTCAACCAGCTCCATCTCGCCCCGTTCAGGAAACAAACAGCCAGGCAGACGAGCTCTGATCTAACTCTCATGTCAGAGGATGAAAGACAGAGAAACAGGACTATACTGAAAAACAGGCCAGAGTGGGAGAATAGAGATAGAATGAAGCAGAATGATGAAAAGGGGTCCTTATGTCCTCCAGCAGTCTAATCCTATAGCAGCATAACTATAGAGTTAGCTCTGGATAATCTAAACCACTCTAACTATAAGCGTTAGTCCCTAAAGATCTGCCTCCCATTCTACTTTTAGAAATTCTAGGAACCACCAGTAAACATGCAGATTGTTCAGCATTTGATTTGAAAAAAGGGCCACATTGCTGTGGAAATGCTTTACTTAGATGGTGATTTGGTAAACTAACAGGTTATTGAATACAGATCAATAAATTTAATAATTGATGAATACATTTATGGATTGTAGTTATGGATCAGCCAAAAAATGGGAGTCAGCCCACCAGGCAAATGCCCTGTATGCCCAGTGACCAGTCCATCCGTGGGTGCCAGCCTCATTAATTAGTTTTTTGTTTTTTAATGCACTAGGATAAGCCCTTGTTGTAGATGCTGAGCCCAACAGGACCACACAGTCCTCCGCTGTGACCTTTCTAAAGGTGGAAGCATAAAGACAGATGGGTCATTCCTTTCTCCAGGGATTCCTAAACCCCTACTTAAAAAAAATCAATGAACAGCATCATTACAGTAGTTGGAAAACAGTTATAACTGTTATAGTTATAAAAGTTATAAAAGATTTAAAAAAATAAATAATAAAAACAAAAGTCTGCATTTGGATGTCATCTACCTCAGAATCCAAAATGGCTGCATAAACACCAAAAATAAACGTCTGATCTGCACTTTTGACATGTTTTACTTTATCAACTCTGTTGCATCTAAATTTATAAACAACACAGATGAAGATACCTTTTTTTTTTTTATCTGCGATACATTTGTTAAAGACCCTGATCACAATATTAAGACTGTTAAAAAAATATAAATAAAAAAAATCCAAGAAGTTACATTTTCTAAGTGGAGCTTCACAATGTTTACTAAAGAAATGAGAGCAAGCAGTCTATTCAGAACAATTGAACTGAAATAGGCCATATATCAGCTGGTCAATAGTTAAAATAAAAAATAGAAAATGTAAATCAAGACCAGATTTCCATAAAACCTCACTAATGAACATTTGTACATATTTAAGTAAAGTTAGAGATGACGATCCTCTTCCTGGGGCTTGATCTGATCTCTTTGTTGGCTCACATGCCAGCCTTTCTGACTATCTTACAATGTTATGAGAAGAGGAGGAAGGTGTTTATGGGATATTCTTTCACATGATGGCAGAAGAGCAGATAGGATCTGTTTTAAAGAGACAGTGTAAAATATTTATCGCCATCTAGTACTCACCTGGTAAAATCAACACCTGTTGTTTTTTTTCCTGGCTATTATGTCTTTTCTTTTTTCTTAAAATTATTTCTCTCACTTGAAAAAAAGTACGGATGTTGCTCCATTGCAAGAGAAAGTGGAAGATAGAATGACCTACAGTTTATTTTGCTTATTTTAACCAGCACATCTCCAGACACAGGTAAAACATGTTTGTCTTCTTTCAGCTTCTCTAATCTTAAATGCAGATACAACATGGCATATCCCATTGGGATGATATTTATTAAAGCAATACTAGAACTCAGTCTGAGAAATACAGAAGAAGGAAGGCAATTAGAATGGTTTTATTGAAACAATATTTTTAGACTTTGGCACTCCGGCATCAGTGGGGTAAATGAACAATTCATTTTACTTTGATTATATGCAGCAGCTGCTGAATGGGAACAGAGATGAAGCCCACCAGGGATGCAATTGGTGGTGGAACGCAGATGGAAGGAAGATGGATGCCAGGTGGAACAAGGCGCAGGTTTATATGAGCTTGCGCGATGAGCAAGCATAGAGCGACAGTGGAGAAAAAAAAACTCCCCTTGGAAAGAAATCTGACAGGACCAGGCTTACCATGGCAGTCTTCTGCCGGACTGGCTGGTGTTGCCTTGTGAAAGCAGTATGAGTCCAGGGTATTAGTTCAATAGGAGACAGATGGAGCTTTAGGAGATATGAAGAAGAGGATGGAGGAGAGTTGAATCAGAGTAATCAGAATCAAAGTTTGACACATGATCCAACTAAAATACTTGTTGGGGAGCAAGTTGAGCTGTTGATTTGAATGTTTCAGCAGGAATCTGATACTATTTGGATTATGAGGTGGTTAAATGCTAATTCGCTGCTTCATTCATGGATAAGCCTCTGATTGCATGATCCAGTTTATTCCGATGAATTTCAGCCTAGGCTTCATTTTTTGCCAATATAAATCCAGATTTGACACTGTCCCTTTAAAGCATGCAGATATTCAAAAAGTGACCTGGGTGTTTTTTTTAGCTACATTTCTGAGGGGAAAGTCATGTGATAAGCTTTTACGGTTCTCAATAACATTTATATAAACATCGATTAATACATGCATTAAAATGGTTTAGTTATTATCACTAAATATGCATGAAACTCCTAGATCAGGTTGTCTTATCCGTGGTCCTCGGGGCCTAATGTCCTACATATTTTAGGCTTTCCCATGCCTCCAAACAGCCGACCTGAATAAAAAGCTGCTGTTCGATGCTCTTCTGCAACCATTTTTTTATTAAAGCATCTCCAATCATGATGCTCCCTCCATCTACTGTTCCACACAGTGGATGCCCTTCAACACTTGAAACTACATTCCCACTAAGCCTCTTAAGCCCATGTAACACCTTGATGATTTAGCTAGCGTATGTCTGACATACAAAAAAATCAGGCAAAAACGCTGGCATACAATGGATGAATAATGGGTCAGTTTTGTATAAGTTAGGAGCACGCTGAAACGCAGGCACACGTCGACATACTGCAAGTATTTGTTTTGAGCATGCTCTAAATTTCTTGACATATGCCAGTGTACGCTCATACATGGGCCATAAGTTACAGATTAATTATTTGATCATTGGCATACGTTAAAGCTGCAGTCTGTAACATTGAGAGAGCAGACTTCGACTGAAAATTTGAAGAAAAACAGGTTTCACGCCACTCCCCCACCCTCTCTGCTTCACTCATGCCCCACCTCCAAGCTCCACCCCTCTCACAGCCCCTGCGCGGCTACCGCATGCGACCAGAAGGGGGGGGGGGATTCAGCTGTGATTGACACTCCATCAGACGCTCCTCTGGCTGTGATTGGTTGTTTTGACTCGTCCCGAATTATTCTTTCCAGATTGAAATACAGGCAGTAGGCGGTACCAATTGAAGCAGTTTTTTTCACAGGTTACATATCACATGTACTGCTGTCTGGGCATAGGGACAGTTTTAGCCAATATGACAAAAAAGTGATTTTTAAAAACTTACAGACTTCAGCTTTAAGTGTAAGTTACTCATAAGTCATGGTGTATAGCTTATCCAAAACCTATGAGTAAGTGGTGCATAACTTATCACCAACGCATGTCAACTAAGTATTTCTATTTAATAATTTTTTTGAGTTTTTACTGCACTAGTGGACCGTTTTTTTGACATTAGGCTGAAAGGAAAGGGGGTATGAGAGAGAGGGAGAGACATGTGGCAAAGGACCACGGGCCGGATTCGAAGCCGGGTCGCCCGCATCGAGGACTAAGGCCTCCATACATGGGTCGTGCACGCCAACCACTGCCCACCTGCACGCCCATATCAACGTATTGACGTGTTCCAGACGACTGCTGAACATGTTTCTAACTCACAGCTACTGTATAATGGTGTATTGGCAGCGTTTGGTATAAAAGGGGGTTCACAGGAGGAAACCGCCAGTCCTAGCACACATGACGCTCTTTTTATTAATTTATTTATGCTTCTTTGGCTGGCAGTACCTCTGGGTGCATTGCTTCCCACCTCAGGAGCAGCGATGTACCTGTGGAGAGCAGCTTTAATTTATGCATTACGCAGTCATGCGGTATGCATAAGGTAGACTGTCGTTGGACATAGAGTATGCTTAATGAATGCAGAACCTATGTATACACCCAAAATTGGAGAACCACAGAAAGTTCAGCATATGCCACAGTTTTAGGGGATTCTGGGACGTCAGGCATATGCTGGCTAAATCGTCGAGGTGTGACAGTGGCTTCAGAAACACTAGCATCAATATGCCTGAAAGAGTCATTACTGAGTCCTTTGTTACTCTGATTTATTTTCAGCTTTGTAAAAAGTTTTTTTCTTAAAAAAGCTTTTTGTCTCTTGCTCCTTCTTCTCCTTTTTACACCGATAAGCTTGAATTATAACCTTCTTTAGATCAAATCAAGCATTTTCTCTCTTTTTAGCATACCTGCAATTCTCCAATTTTTTTGCATGGGAACAGAACTATCTAACCTCACGGTACCGAATGGAAAATACTGTCAGATTTATTGTACATTAGCATCATAAATATTTTTAAGCAAATAAAAAAAAAGAAAAAACAGATTTGATCAACAGAAACCGAGAGTCAGTACCATGTACAAAATAGCTTTACTGACTTGCTTTGTTTGGCATCACAATAAATTCAGCTAAAAGGATGTAAATACAATCAGAAAAAATTTACAAAGCAGGCAGTATTGGAAAATTTAGAGATTAATAAACCGGTATATATATACATATGTTTACACATACAGAAATAAATAATCAAATGACACTTTAATGGCTTTTCTTTTTGCGTCTTTTTCCAGTTTTTTTTCTGTCCTGTTGTCCACCAGGTTTAAATCCACCTCTGTTTTTTTCGGGGCAGGATTTTGTTCACATCTCTGCTTGAGGACGAAAGAACCCAGATTAAACCAATGGTGATAAAGACGCCTATTGTCTGATCAAACATGAGTCGGTCAATCCCAGGGTTCCTGCAGGAGCGCCGCAGCCTTTCTGTCTTCAACATCCAGCGTCAGAAAAGTCTGTGAAAAGTACGCCTGGTTTTTAGATGCTGAGGTAAAACATCCTCTTCATTGCAGCTGAAGAGTTAATCCCTTTTGGCTGACTCATCTGTAAAACAAAACATGTACTGATGTAAAACTTCAGCACCTGCTATTACTGATAATAATTGTTGGGGCTAAAGCTACTTATAAAAACCAAGCATAATTGGTTTAACCCATTAACACCAAGCATACAGATACTGGTACGACTCTCTAAGGGTGGAGCTTTGTCTTTTTTTATTAACAGCTTTAACTTTATAGCCCCATTTACCCTACTGTCTGAAAACCGATAAGTGACAGAAGGATGTATTTCTATGGATATGGAGGGATGTGTAATAACATCTGCCAATATTTTGGGTTAAATGTGTCTAAAGCAAAAGCATTTAACTGTATTTTTGAAATAAAGTAAAAAAAGAATTCAAGATTTTTTTTTCTGATTAATTTAAAATGATTCTGACGATACGAACCGAGCCAAAAGCCTGATGGTGAGAGAACCTGTGGCTCAGGTGTGATGGAGCTGCTCCCTCATTCTGGCTGCGGCTCGCTCTCTCTTCTCACAGTGCTTTTTCAGGTCTTTGACCTCCAGAGGCAACATGCTGTTCCACACCATCAGCACCGACTCCTCATCTGAGGGACCAAAAACAAACAGGAACACCCACGTGTTACTTCTGCAGAGAACGCCGCGCAGCGAGGCGACAGAGCAAACGAGGACACTTCGCACCCACCGTCATGGTTCTTGTCTCGTGGGAGCCTCCGACCCAAAACCAGCACAGCGTTCTTCCAGTTTAACGACTCTGATTGATGGAAAGAGGAAAAAGAAAAGCAACATTAGTGCACACACTGTTACATATGAAGGAAAACTCACAGCGTGCCGGGTCATGCGCACGCAAATAGCCCCAGAAACTGTGAAGCTAAAAGCCAAACAAAAACCCAGCTGCTTAAAAATGTTTTTCTTTTCTTATCTTTAGTTACTCAACTCTTTTTTTTTCTATTTGTTCTCACACTCTCTTTGCTACAAAGGAGATACGAGCAGAAGGACTGAGGAGTTAACCTTCAGGCTGTTGCTCAGAGTAAAAGAGAAGTAATTTGACGTATTTAACTGTAAACTCAGCCTGAAGCTGTTGGTAAAATCCTTCAAAACCAAATCAGCTCCTTAGATCTACGTTTTTCCTCAGTAATGAACCCCTGAAATGACCAACGTGAAGCGGCTGTACATGCCGTGGACCCACGTATGAAAGCAGAGGCGATGGAGCGAACGGAATCACACAATGGCGCCAACACCTGCAGCGTCTGATGCTTGGAGAGCTCCAGCAGGAGCAGGTAGCCCCCTCTAGTGCCGATCCAGAGAGCTGCAGTGTTCTGCATCATCAGGGCCTTCACCGTGGCCCAGGTGGGGGAAACCTCGGCGGACGGCTCCACTCTGCAGCCAGAATCACGCCTACAGGGGAACAGAACCTGTTAAAGTCTGTCTGCTTTAGCGGGCGAACTCTAGGCGGCGGCGGCATGTACCTGATGATCTGAGCGCAGTCGATGCAATCCACCATCCTCTCACTCCTTTTATCCCACACCTCGACAGTCTGAGTCCCAGCTTTGCTGAGATACACGTGTTTGTCCACAACCATGCGGGAGACGGACGCCTCGCTGCTCAGAGACCGCTGCTGGCTGTAATGGCGCACATGCAAACAAACACAGATACGTTAGCAGGACTCATTTCAACGCTGCGGATTAAACATAAAAACAGGAGCAGCACCGTTCAGGAAGCTTTTTTTTAGATTTTAAAAAACCCACATAGGAGACTCACTGGAAGATGAGGTTTGGCCTCGTGTCGATGGCCTTGCAGACGTCGTAGTCGACGGAGAAAGCGAGGATCTTGGTCCCGCAGCTAGCCCACACGGTCCTGCTGTCCAGCGAGTGAGTGGACTGGCCCAGGCAGAGCAGAGGAGTGCTGACGCTTCCAACCGTCAGAGTTTTAACAGGCTGACCGTCCTCCTGCTGGAGGGAGAGGAGAAGCAGGTGGTTACTATGACAACAATATCTACAACACTTCATTTTATCATTAGGCATGAGTACTTACCATGAGCGCAGACTCAGTATAAACACTAAGAACTCCGTCTGCAGTCCCGACCAGCAAGTAGTTCTGTCTTTGGCTGCAAAGAAATCCAGAATTAAACTTTTTCCTGATTTAGATAATAAAAAATGTTTAAGATTGATGAGCCAGTCTTTGCAAAAGGTTTTATGGATAAGCACAATATTCTCGGAACCTGTGCAGCACTTAAAGAAGCGTAGTCGGGTTATATGTAGTGTAGAAATGATCAAGACCCATTTGATCCTGATAAAATAGGGTTATATCCACCAAACACCCATCCTGTTTAAACCGTCCTTGTTAAGCCTAAATAGAACCCCATCACTGGGTGTGACCAGCTGATCTAAATGTGGCGCCATCTACTGTATTATATAATATATATTATGTGTATTAACTGATCTGCAGCAACTCTAAGTTCTAGTCAATCCTCCTCAGAGCCTCTTATCAGAACATAGAGGAAAAATTAACGGAATAAATCGATTACCGTTCATAACAAATGCAGAGACACGGCATCAAGGTGAGAGTCAACAGTCCATTAATCTGTTTATAATATTCCTTGTACTTAGACTGAAGAGACTTAATATCGTTGCTGAAAATTGTATAAGTAATAATAAGGACATTTATTTACACATCCATTACTTCAGCAGCTGAGCACCTCAGCAGATTTAGCTTCTACTTAAGTGAACACCAAAGTTCAGACTGGATTCCCAGCGCTGTTCTATTCTTATCCTCTTGGAATCTTTTGTTTTTTAAACGTCATCTAGGACTTTCATTATTTCCACACTTCACTGAGAGATGCTAACCAGCCTAGCCACAGTTAGGGCCATCAACTCTAACTGAAAAAAACAAAAAGGAACACCTGATGGGCATTAGCGTTAAATTAGATGCATATTTGCTGGTCATGTTGTCAGCTCATTGGTCACAATGCAATTATATTTGTATATTCGGAAGGATTCTGTTTTTCAAGGGACGGTTGGCAACCCTAGCCACAGTAGACTACAGCCCTGTTTACTTCCAGCCAACATTCTCAGTATTTTACCTCGTTTGTTATTGTAAGGATACACAAACGGCCTATATTTACTAAGAAAGTAAGAAACAACAACAACTTTTTAAACAAAATAACAAATATTACACCAGCAGGATGAGGTAATCTTCCAGAAAAACTCTTGTGTGCCATTAGCGTGAGCTACTGTACATTTAAATAATGTCATAACATGTTTATGTCCCTTTAACCGTGCAAATCCCTAGAGTAATAGGTTTTCCTGCGATCGCCCCTCCCCTCTGAAAGGGTGTGCCTTCACTCCACCTTGATAACTGGCACTATTGTAAAGCAAATAATCCCTAACAGCACCAGGCCGAGTGCATGTAATAACAGAAAGGCTGAGCCAAGCATCATAAAGAGCCTACCTCCCATGTCAATGTTTTAGTCACTATTAGCTTCCAGTCGTAATATTTAAGTTATGAGATTCACTCTGCACCATCAACATTACTGATCTCCTCTGTTTCTCTAAAGTCTTTTAAACCGTCCATCCATCCATCCTTCTGAAATTTGTTTCAGATCAGGTAATCAAATGCGGTATACAAATGTGCTCACAATGTGAATTTAATCTCTTATGCAAATTGCATGCAAAAAATAAAATAATACAACTCTGACTCAACCTGTTTCAGTTGTCTAAACCCCCCTAGCAGCAAAACAAAGAACAGACCTCGCTTTAGTTCTGTGTATCAATATAAAGTTACATATGAATAGTTGTACAGGTGCTGGTCATAAAATTAGAATATCATGAAAAAGTAGATTGATTTCAGTAATTCCATTTAAAAAGTGAAACTTGTATATTATATTCATACATTACATACAAACTCATATATTTCAGATGTTTATTTTGTTTAATTTTGATGATTACAAATGACAACAAATGAAAATCTCAAATTCATCATATCAGAAAATTAGAATATTGTGAAAAGGTTCAAAATTGATGGCCCCTGGTGCCACACTCTAATCAGCTAATTAACTCAAACCACCTGCAAAAGCCTTTAAATGGTCTTTCAGTCTAGTTCTATAGGCTACACAATCATGGGGAAGACTGCTGACTTGACAGTTGTCCAAAAGACGACCATCGACACCTTGCACAAGGAGGGCAAGACACAAAAGGTCATCGCTAAACAGGCTGGCTGTTCACAGAGCTCAGTGTCCAAGCACATTAATAGAGAGGCGAAGGGAAGGAAAAGATGTGGTCGAAAAAAGTGTACAAGCAAGAGAGATAACCGCACCCTGGAGAGGATTGTGAAACAAAACCCATTCAAAAATGTGGGGGAGATTCACAAAGAGTGGACTGCAGCTGGAGTGAGTGCTTCAAGAACCACCACACACAGACGTATGAAAGACATGGGTTTCTGCTGTCGCATTCCTTGTGTCAAGCCACTCTTGAACCACAGACAGCGTCAGAAGCGTCTTGCCTGGGCTAAAGAGAAACAGGACTGGACTGCTGGTGAGTGGTCCAAAGTCATGTTCTCTGATGAAAGTAAATTTTGCATTTCCTTTGGAAATCAAGGTCCCAGAGTCTGGAGGAAAAGAAGAGAGGCACTTCATCCACGTTGCTTGAAGTCCAGTGTAAAGTTTCCACAGTCAGTGATGGTTTGGGGTGCCATGTCATCTGCTGGTGTTGGTCCATTGTGTTTTCTGAGGTCCAGGGTCAACGCAGCCACATACCAGGAAGTTTTAGAGCACTTCATGCTTCCTGCAGCTGACCAACTTTTTGGAGATGCAGATTTCATTTTCCAACAGGACTTGGCACCTGCACACAGTGCCAAAGCTACCAGTACCTGGTTGAAGGACCATGGTATCCCTGTTCTTAATTGGCCAGCAAACTCTCCTGACCTTAACCCCATAGAAAATCTAAGGGGTATTGTGAAGAAGAAGATGCAATACACCAGACCCAACAATTCAGAAGAGCTAAAAGCCACTATTAGAGCAACCTGGGCTATCATAACACCTGAGCAGTGCCACAGACTGATCGACTCCATGCCACGCCGCATTGCTGCAGTAATACAGGCCAAAGGAGGCCCAACTAAATACTGAGTGCTGTACATGCTCATACTTTTCATGTTCATACTTTTCAGTTGGCCAACATTTCTATAAATCCTTTGTTTTTATTGGTCTTCAGTAATATTCTAATTTTCTGATATGATGAATTTGAGATTTTCATTTGTTGTCATTTGTAATCATCAAAATTAAACAAAATAAACATCTGAAATATATGAGTTTGTATGTAATGTATGAATATAATATACAAGTTTCACTTTTTAAATGGAATTACTGAAATCAATCTACTTTTTCATGATATTCTAATTTTATGACCAGCACCTGTATTTGCCTCATTGTCAATACAGCAGATGCTGCACAGTTGAATAAAGAAGTAGCCATTCAAAATTTATCCACTCTCCTTGATGGGTCCTTGGCTGTCATCCAACAATTCCTTTTTTTTACATCAATCTGTCCTAAAATATTCTGTCTGTCATGAGTGGAGATCTAAAGAAAAGCGCCATCTCCCTCTAATTCAGTGAAAGGGTGGAGTCAGGGTCAATAAATATGGATGCCCAGGAGAAGGAGGGGGGTCACAGCAGTGGCTTTTGCTGGGAGCTGCAGGGAAGTGGGCTGCAATTCGGCTGGCTTTTGACTGGGAAGGGCCATTTTGAATGGCTGCTACTGTATGTATCTAGATAGTATATTTATCTTTCTACCAGTCTATTTAGTTGTATTACTACTGCAATAATCTATGTAATGTATCCAGAGTAAATATGTTATGTTTTTTTTTTTTTTTTTTTTTTTTTTACCATGGACTGAAAATATTGGAATAAAACATTGCAGCTTGTATTTACTCTGCTTCTGCATACACGAGACCAAAGGGCCCAGTGTATTTTTTCCAGCATCAAAGCAGAACACAGCGTATTCTCTACTGTGATGAAGTTAGTTTCAAGTTTAATATTGAATATTCAAGCAGCTGCATCTAGCAATACGATTCAGGTTCTCAGATGTTGGCCATCCGTTCTGTTGCACTCTTTTCTTCGGAATCAGAGTCCCTCAATCAGATCAACCATGAGCTAGATGCTGCCGACTCCCGAGCTTGAATAGCTAACTTGGAAATAATTTCACCGCAATAGGGAATCAAATGCTGCTCAATATTTGCAGAGATGAACCGAGGCTGCAGAAACAGAGGAAGCCATTTTTTTTTTCTCAGGCAACAGAGAGCCTTGAGCTGAAATGTAGCTCTGAAGGTTAGATGGTTCTCTGAGAAAAGCGTTAATCCAGGCATTTACATGAGAAAAGGGATTAATGAACTGAGTGGGGACTGCAGCCTTCAGGAGTTTGACAAAAAATCTATGGAACCTAAAGTTAAGGTTTGAGATGACGGCGGCTCAACTGTGATTTCTGTACAGCGGTAAAACTAAAAGCCAACTGATTTACAACACCCCCTGCTCGTTACATCACTTCCCTTCTCAACTTTATTTTATGATTAAACATTTTCTTCTCTTAAAACATCCTTTGGGATTGTCCGAACTAGTATAAGATGATTTCCATCGCCGGAGCGGCAGGGGGTCCACTGCCTATGTTTATAACTTACGTGCGCCGCGGATGTACGTGGAAGTAGAGTGAGGTGACGGCGTCGCTAACGCTCTGCAGGTGGTGCCAAGAGGACACGTCCTTAGTGCTGATGACCAGTAGGGAGCCAGACTGTGTTCCTGCTACAAGCCAATCACATTCCTCGTTTGGGATTTGGACTGTTGCTAGGCAAAGGACGGGGCTGGTGTCGACCTCCTGTTTCAGAGGAAAGAGAAAGCTGTGAACCACAGTTGGACTTGGCAGTATCTTCTAGATGCATTGCACCAATACAAAGTATTTTCACATTTACTACCTGCCAAATTTCTCTCATTCTGACATGATCTGGCTGAATTCTCTCTGTAAACTTACCGTTGTTGTGAATTGGAGCTATATAAATAAACTGCATTGGATTTAATCCATTTATTTTCAGCCACCTTTGTAACGATGCCCCCTAAACAAACTTTAACTTTAAATAACCTAAATAAGGTTTGCTTTGTGAAAAAAGCTCTGAGTAAATTCAGCTGGTCTTTAAAGGCCTTGTAGGTTTGCTTGGAGAAAATGTGTAAATAACCAGAAACATGAATTCAGGATATAGGAAATCAGATTTCTGCCAAGAGGTCAAACGCCTGGTAAATATGCATAAGATCAGTTCTATCTAAAATAGAGGCACATAAACTACTCTCTGTGCACTTTTAAAATGTTTTACATGTCCAGATTCAATACCAAAAGCCCCCCAGTTGTTATGGTCTTAATTTTGTTAGGTTTTCTTTGAGTTTTCAGTTTTCATGTCGATTCATGTTTTTTCTTTGTGTTCTAGTTTTATTGGTTTAATTCCTATTTTGTTGTGTTTTCTGGATATATCTGAGTTCTTAGGCTTTTCTTTGTTGCCCTCTTGTGTTTGTTTTCTTTTCCTTAGCTCTTTTCCTAGAAGCCTCTGTTCTCACCTGCTCCCAATCAGCTTGTTAGTCCTCCCTTTGTTCACTCAGCCATAAATACTCTCCCTATGCAGTTCCTCGTCTTTCCTAGTCGCTCCTTGTCTTTCCTTGGCTCCTTGTGCTTGTTTTTCCCCTAAAGTCTCCATGGTTCTGGTTTGCGTGTCATTTTAAGTTGGATTTTTAGATTCCTGCCTCCGTTACCTGTTTTTATCATTAAAACTGCAAGAACTCACCTCTGCCTCTGCATTTAGGTCATCAAATCACAACCAAAGCTGACAGCAATATGTCACAACCATGCTCCTTTAGATTCTTTCCTGTGGACCTGTTTCTTTGGCTCATGTCAACTTTTATCACATTGAGGGAAGCCATGCCGGGATTGGCTACTTTACAGGACTTTTATTCCTAGTTGCACACAGTTACATTACATATCACGCTCATGTGAGACCCACAATTATTACGGCAGTTTCGCCTGCTTTTGCTTTCCTTGAAATTTGCCTGGCCAGTGAAAGCAATTTGCACAGCGAGTAAACCCACTAAGGCTACGTTCACACGCAGCCTGAAGTGACCCAAATCCGATTTTTTTTTGCCCATATGCGACCTGGATCTGATCTTTTCATGGCAGTCTGAACAACACAGATTTGATTTTTTCCAATGCGACCCAGGCCACTTGACTATGTGGTCCTGAATCCGATACGAATCTGATCTTTTGAAATGCAACCTGTGTCGGAACGGCCAGGTCGGATTCATCTGACCTGAACGTCATTAATACCAGACAAAGGCCACTATTATGCGTCTTGCTACGCAGAAGCGGCAAGAAAAACAACAACCATGGCAGATGATGATGCAGAGAGCAGTATTTATGTTTAAACATGTGATGATTTTATGGTTGGAAAAGACCGCTAGATGTGCACTGGCACTAACATCCATTTTTACTTCCGTAAACATAGAGCACGCTGGTCTGTGACGTCATTGCGTCCTCTACTCCGCATGCAGGACAATTGCTTTGTATGACTGCAGTTCTCACAGGAGATCACATACAAGTCGCATATATTTAGAAATATGAACGGCAACGTAAAAACAAAAAATCAGATTTCACAAAATAATCGGAATTCAGCATCAAGACCTGCAGCGTCAACGTAGTCTAAGTGATGAGTTTTCTGCTTGCTGGTTTAACTTGGATTTATCGAGGCACTAACAGCGCTTTCATTTTCTTTTAAAAGCTGAACAAATACCCCTGCCTCCTCCAGTAGCTACATCCTAATGATGGTTACTTTCAGCCGTACCTCCGCCTATCCCTGACCAAGTTCTGGGCCCTGCTGTCCGGCGTTGGCCGATGAAACACCCAGACAACAGAGGTGAGTCGGCGTTTCGGTGCTCAGATAGGAGCAGCAAGAAATCAGTGTGAGCACATCGACGGAGTGAGAAACAGAACCGGGACAAGGCGGCCAGCTGTGTCTCCCTCTGGCGCCAAGTAACCACAGCGGAAGATAGGGAAACAGCACCAGAGCTAGGACAGGCTACAGCTGCCTGGGGCTAACTGCGGAAGATGGGAGAACAGCAGCAGAGAATGCGTCGCTGGCCGATGTCTGCGCTGAAGGTAGGACAAAGACACAGTCCTTCTAGGACTAAATTAAAACTATTTCTTTTAAAAGCATCCTAAAAACCTCTTAAGAGCATTCCCATTTCATACAGAAGCACCAACCAGAACCTTAAGGCAACAACCGTAATGGTTTGCTTGTAAAAACAAATCTATTGGGCTATTACCTAGCTCCGGGAAATCGATACCTGGAGTTATATTGGCAAAACAGGACACACAAAAAACGGTGAATAGAAGTCATCATTAAATAACTTAGTTTAATATTAACATTTGAAATTTAATTATCTCACATTGGAGAATTTTACCTCTGCATTTAACCCATCCCCTTGGAGAGCGGTGGGCTGCCATGGTGCGGCACCAAGGAGCAGTGTGAAGTTAAGGGTCTTTGCTCAGGGACACAGAGTGGCAGTCTGTGGAAGTGGGGCTCGAACTCAGAACCTCAGGATTCCAGGCTCTATGCCCTAACCACTCGGCCGCCACTCCCCCTCATTAATGTGTTCTGACAGCAGTAGTAATATCCTCTAAAAAGATTGATGTTAAATTTGGAACGTCATATAAGCTAAGCTAAGGATTTCTTCACTGTTTATATTGAGGAGAGTAATGCTTGAATGAACTCAGGTTTACAGCTTGTCATTTACATTTCTGATCACTTTAGAGCTACTGTTAAGCACTTTATCTTTTGTGTCCAGAATTGTGTTCATAAAATTTTTAGTTAATGACAGAGACAGCGGTTGGATTAGAACTAAGAGTTAATCTCTAGAAAAGAGCAGCATTTAACCTGAAGATGCTTTGCTAATTATCATAGCCGCAGTTATGAGGAAAACAGTGCTCTCTGAAGAGGCGGGATCTCGTGAAAAGTAGCCAATCACAGGCATTTTACCTTTTCAGGTTGGTTCTACCCTCAAAGTGACTAAGTGACAAAGTTTCTATAAGCCACAAAAGCAGGTTCATGGGAGAGACTCTACAGCAGCGTAAATAGAGAGCAGAAAAGGCGCACAGAGTCCTGGTGGTGACATAGTTGGGCGCTTATGAGATGTTGTTTCCTGCAGTATTTATTATGCTTTTGATGTATTGGCAGACATCTGTCCTCATATTCATAGAGCCCTGTTTGACCCATATTCTACAACTCAAAAAGAATCTTGCACTTCTGAAAATCTATGTCATTGTCATTTAACTGGAATGACATGATGGAGCTAAATCCAGGGCAATGATAGTGGAAGAACCGTTAAGAGGCTGCAGAGGATTCCTCTTCCAATGAGCATAAATAGACTGGTCCAACTATCAATCTGCATTGACAATGTTTTTCTCTGCAGGAGGAATGGGGTCAAGGATCGGTGCGTGTACCTGTGAGGTGACCGTATTGGTCTGCAGGTCCACTGCTGTGACCAAGCCCCTCTTGTGATAGCTGCTGCCTCCGCCGAGCCAGGCCACGGGGTTTGACGTCCTCTGGTGGCTGCTGCTGCAGCGGCTGTAGCTCATAGTGATGCACTGAGCACCGAACATGCTGGAAACCTTCACTTCACTCATCAAGCAAAGCATTTCCCCTGAATTCAGCCTGTCGAACACCTGCACACATCCCAGAAAAAAGATGAATGAGCGTGGATAGAGAGAAAATGTTTTAATTGTAAAAAACAAACTGAGAAGAAAAAGCTTCCTGGTTGGAATCTGTGTCCTTTTCTAAAACCTAGCTGGTACCTGCAGATATTCAGGTCCACTTTAAGAGTTATTTTTACACATTCCTTTGATGTTGCTGAGGTCCTCACCTGAGCAGAAGTGGGACGATCCTGTGGGCTTTCCTTCAGACAATCTGTCATCAGAGCCTGGAAGCTTGGCCAAGGTGAGCAGCCGTAGTGCTTTACCGGATCTGTGCACATTAACAAACCCTATATGAGTGTATGAACAAAAAAACCTAGCAAAGTTGAGCAGTTAAACCTCACCTGGCAGCTTTCCCTGCACTGCCGTTTCATCAAACTCACTGGGGAACTTCATCCCGTCTGAAATGCGTTCGCCACTCGTCAGCAGGTCGTAGAGCAGCAGGCCGAACGAGAACACATCAGCCTGCTGGTTGTAGATGACGTTACCTCGGGCCACCTCAGGAGCTCGGAAACCTGCCGCATGGAGATCCGTCAGAACTTTTCATACACTGTGGCATGCTGTCAGAGAAGGGGCCTCTGTCCTACCTGGAGTTCCCTCGGAGCTCCTCACTCCCATGCTGCAGCAGTACTGAGCGATTCCGTAGTCTGTGATTTTGGCGATGATGTCGGAGTCGCTTTTCAGGTTGAACAGGAGCACGTTGTGGGGTTTCAGATCTCGGTATATGATCATGGCGGAATGGAGGTACCTGATCAACAAAGACAACCACTGAATAAGATAACACAAACATACAGAGGCATCTGAAAAATGTAACACACACTGGGAAATATTTCATGCTTTTATTTCTTAGAATATTAATAATTTTACCTTACAGATAATAAAGCAAAATGTTAGCGCTAAAGGTCAATCACCTTTAAACACCTGCACAGGTTTCTGCAGCCTCTACATCTAGTAATTTTTTTTTTTTAAATAAGTGCATTTGTTCTTGGATTGAAGAGGTAAAAGAGATCTTGCCAATGGAACAAGACAATTTACACTTAAAATAAGAAAACACAATTGCATTGTCTCATTTCAAGTGCATATTATCAAATTATCTTATTTTAAAAGTAAAAATACTCATTCCATTGGCCAACTATCTCGTTTACCTGCTCAAATTATGGTTAAATAAACTTAATTTAAGAAATGTTTACGTATTTCTAGATCATTTTTCCAGTGTAGTAGAGCATCAGCACCTACAGTAATAACTCCAGCAGCAATTCAAAGAGCTGCACATTTTTACTACTTTAAATGTCATTTAACAAAAAAATTTATATTTTTTTTAATCAATTCATCCTATTTATTAACCAATTTCTTGAAGATAAAAACAGCTGTCCACCTCTAACCAATCATTGTTTCATGAGCTGATGAAACTATGGTTTAAACATGTTAATAGTCCTTCAAAAGAGCTGAATAAACTGCAGAGGTGTGATAAGAGTCTTTGCTGAAATTAAGTGGAAACGGAGGAGAGAGATGAACTTCGGCAGACAAGACAAATTGAGGGTTACCCATAAAAATCATTGTTAATTACTGACACAATGATAGTCATGATAGTATCTCTAATAAGACACCGAAGGATTTTTTGTAATCCAGATCTATGCCTTTAATTGTATTAATAAAGCATTTTGAAAAGGGAATTTAAGTCCAACAAACTCGCATCAGATTTGGTTCTGTGTCTGAAACGGAGAATCATATTGCCGCACAACTATAAAGTGTTTAAATCCAACATCCAGCAAAAACAGAGAGAGAAACCTCAGGCAGTAGGAAGGGCTTCCCTTTGATCCCAAATGGATGAAACCAGGAAGAATGATGCAACACTGTGGTAATTTGGATTGTCTGTGTTGTTTGAAAACAGTGAGGAAATGATAAAAATGAAGCATATTTTGCGAAACATCATATCCTGCCACGATGTCCTTTGATTATCCTGTTTATTGAGCTTTTAAGATTTGAAAGTTCATTTTCTTGATGCCATCGTCTCCTTTTTTTTTTCTTTTTAAAGTCATTAATGATCTCATGACCCCTATGGAGGTTTCTTACATTGTTGGTGCAAGTAAAGAACATATTTTGGAAATGGAAATTTGAAAAAATAAATTAATAATTAATCAATAAAATGCAATCCAGAAATGAAACTTTAAAAAACATTTTAATCAAAAATAGGTTGTGAGAGAGACTCAGATTTGGTTTTTCATTGTTTTCCGTCTTCTTATATATATTTTTTTTATGTATTTATTTTTCATATGTTATCTTTGACTAGTTATTCTTAATTTCATTTTATCTGAATATTTTTACATATATACTTGTACATTTTATTTCAAAAAATATATTTTTACAGATTTTATATTTTTTATTTTTTGTTTTAAAGTTCTGTTTTTTCAGATTACAGATAATTCTCTTCCTTAAAATTGAGAGACCTGTGTCCCTTCTTAAAAAGAGAGAAAGTGATCTGTAAAACAATTTTAAAAGAATGGACTTTGTAAAAACAATCTGAGAAACAGAATTAAAAAAAGAGGAATATATAAAATCTGTTGAAAACTTAAATAGTACAATTTAAAAACAGAAAGAAAAATAAAATCTGAGAAAACAAGAAAGTTGCTCTTACAATCTATTGATTAAAATCTATAATGTTTTTTCAAATTTCCATTCACAAAATGTTTTCTTTACTTGCAAAAATAATGGGAAAAATTTAACGCCATAGGCGTGAAGCTCATGGTTCTATTTCATCCCTACTGACCGCCAGAGGCGGTGCTTCAAGCACTGAATGATCATTCTTGCGCATGCGCAGGTCGAGTATTAATGACAACAAAGTCAGCTGTGACCTGCCGGGGACCCACGTGACTCTATATAGTCACGTGGCACCCGGCAATCAATCCCTTTTGTTCTTCTCGCGCGCAGGTGTGTTGAGTACCGGAGTGTGGTCGTGTGAAGCTGGTTGCTTCTGTGTATACCACTAGTTTCCTGGCTGCTTGTTGCTGGTAGCCCCGTGACCGGGTTTGGTCGGAGCTGCGGGTAAGTCTCGCCCTCCAGGGGCTGCACAAGCTGCTTTCACCTTACCAGATCTGCGGTGACTGGTAAGTTTTCGTTCTTTTCTCAGCAGTAGTTTACTGTTCGCTTTGATTTGCCACGTTAATTTTGTGGCTCTTTTGACTCACGGTAGCGTTTCTGCTCGCGCTGAGTTGTTTTCAGTTTGTTTGCCTAAGCCCACCAGTAGCGTTTCTGCTCGCGTTGGGTTCTTCTATAGTTTGTTTATCTACACTCACCAGTGGCGTTTCTGCTCGCGCTGAGTTGTTTTCAGTTTGTTTGCCTAAGCCCACCAGTAGCGTTTCTGCCCGCGTTGGGTTCTTCTATAGTTTGTTTATCTACACTCACCAGTGGCGTTTCTGCTCGCGCTGAGTTGTTTTCAGTTTGTTTGCCTAAGCCCACCAGTAGCGTTTCTGCTCGCGTTGGGTTCTTCTATAGTTTGTTTGCCTAAACTCACCAGTGGCGTCTCTGCTCGTGCTGAGTTCATCTTTAGTTAATAATCGATTTGCTAGTGGCGTTTCTGCTCACGCTGAGTTTGGAATCTCTGCGGGGGTTTTCCTACAACGAGTCGCCAGTAGCGTTTCCTGCTCGTGTTGACTTGTCCTTGGTAGCAGGCTGATCACGCCTTTCAGCAGTATGATGCTGGATAATTTATGTTGCTCGACCTGTCTGGCTCCACTTCAGCCGGATGACGGGCATGACTTGTGTCCCTCCTGCCTCGGTGTGGAACATCTCCGGGAGGCGCTGTCAGATGACGCTTGCCCCAACTGTCGCGTCATGCCCCGGTCGGTCAGACTGGATCGGTTGGCTGCACTGGAGCAGCCTACCGACTGGGCGAGCGCTTCGCCGCGTGCTCGTTTGCCGATGGAGAAAGCGGTGTGCAAACGATCTACTGTGGCTGCACCTTCGGTACCAACGAAGCGTGCTAGACGGACCGATGCAGGGAGGTTGTCCACCAGAGTGGATCATCTCACTACTGAGCTGGCCCAAATGAAAGCCCTCCTCCAGTCCTTTCAGACTGCTGGTGATCGCGGCACGGCTCTCCCTACCGAGCAGGATGAAACGTCAGTCAATGACGACGATGCTGTTTCTGTGGCGGCCTCTGGCACCCATTTCTGTGAGGACCTTCCGGAGCTGGGCTCCGGGGCCTCTGGGTCGGACTCCATTGCCTCCCAGGAGGATACGGGGGAGTCTGTGACATCCGCTATTCGAACGGCTCTTGCCCGTTTACAGATTAGTGTTCCTCAGGCCCAGCCTGCGGCTTCCAGCGCCTTCTTTAGGCGCAGTAGGTCAGAGACTGCCTTTGTGGTTCCTCCCTCGGCGGAGTATGTGCGGGAACTGCATGCTTGCTGGTCAGACACCAAGGCGTTTTCACGTCTGACGACGGATGGCAGGGTCCTGGCAGCTATGCAGGAGGCACCCAAGGTTGGCTTGGGGCAGATGCCAGCGGTGGAACCGGGCATTGCCTCTCTTATAATCCCGTCTGATGAGGCCTTGCGGCCCAATGCCCGTTGTCCGCGTCCTCAGTGCCGTATTACCGACGACCTTCTCTGTAAGGCCTATGACTCTGGGGCCCGCATGGGCCGGATTGGGAACTCTCTCTCCCATCTTATGCTGGCCCTGTCTTCCTCCTTGGAATCTGTTCCGCTGGATCATGCAGCGCAAGGCCTGGTTGATGCATCTCTGCAGGCCTTTGCTCTTATGACGAGGGAACTTGGACGCACACTCTCCACACTGGTTCATGCTCGCCGCCAGGTCTGGTTGGCGCAGTCACCACTAACTGAGCCTTGTAGGAGGACCCTCCGGGCCCTGCCTGTGGTCCCGGGGGAGCTTTTTGGTTCAGCGGCACTGGACGCCTTGGACCGTACGGCTCAGGCCTCTAGAACGAGGCAACAGCTGGCAGGGCTTCACAGACGTGATCGCCAGCCAGTAAGCACCTGGGCAGCTGCGGGTCCTTCACGGAGGTCCTTAGTGCCTTCTCCTTCTCCCACTGAGCCCCAGGGTCTGTTACCAGGTCAGAGATCGGTCCGGGGACCTGCTCTAGATCGGAGGAACAGAGCTCGAGACCAGGCTGGGACGAGGTCCTTTCATCCCTTTCGAGCCGCGCAGTCTGGCCGGCGTCCTCCCGGGCCTTCGAAGGGCCGGGGGACCCGCAGATGATGCCTTAGGGCCGGCGGTCGGTTATTTTTCCCCGGGACAGCTCAGCTTCTGGGCTGCCCACACCCCGGACTTGTGGGTGTTGTCCACCCTGTCCCGGGGGTACCGTCTTCAATTCCGCCGCCGGCCACCTATCCCTGGCCGGGTCAGGATGACTGTGATCCACGACCCGGTGAAGGCACAGGCACTGAACCAAGAAATCTGCACCTTGCTGGCCAAGGGTGCTATAGTGCCTGTGGACCCCCTGCTGGATCCAGGGGGCTTTTATTCCACGTATTTTCTGGTTCCGAAGAAGACCGGGGGCCTGCGTCCAGTCTTGGACCTCAGAGGCCTGAATGTGTACTTGAAGGCCATGCCCTTTCATATGCTGACCACCAAGGAAGTGTTGCAGGCGATTTCCCCGGGCGATTGGTTCACTTCCATAGATCTCAGGGATGCTTATTTTCACGTTCCGATCGCTCCGCCCCATTGGCGGTTTCTTCGTTTTGCTTTTCAAGGGAGGCATTTCCAGTTCAGGGTCCTCCCGTTCGGACTTTCACTGTCCCCCAGGGTGTTCACCCGATGTGTTGCAGCGGCCCTCTCTCCTCTGCAGGCACAGGGATTGAGGATCCTCCCATATCTGGACGACTGGCTCATTTGTGCCGCGACGTGGGACCAGGCGGTTCGAGATACTCGGTTAGTGCTCCATCATGTGGGATGCTTGGGCTTGCAGGTGAACATGGAGAAAAGCAGTCTGACCCCCTCACAGGAGACTGTCTTCCTGGGCATTGCCATGGATTCCATCTCAATGACTGCTTGCCCGTCACCCCAGCGGGTGGACAGTATATTGAGCGTGCTCCCGGAATTCAGGCGCGGCATGGCGCTGCCTCTTGTGCGGTATCTTCGACTCTTGGGCATGCTTACAGCTGCGTCCGCCGTAGTGCCCTTGGGGCTGCTGTCATTGCGGCCCCTCCAGATGTGGTTGAACAGCTTGAATCTGGATCCCACACGGAACACTCATCGTCTCCGAAGACTTCGGGTGGGGCCTCAGTGTCTTCAGTCTCTGTCCCAATGGAGGGTGAGGTTGTTTATGACCACAGGGGTCCCGCTCGGTTCCCTCCCGTGTCGTCGGGAAGTTGTGTTTACAGATGCATCCTCCACGGGCTGGGGTGCAACCTGGCGGGGTCAAATGGCACAGGGGACATGGTCCCAGCGGCAGGGCAGGGAACACATCAATGTCCTGGAGTTACAGGCTGTGCTTCTGGCTCTTCAGAGCTTTCTTCCAGGCTTGCGGGGGAAGCACGTGCTGGTGAGGTCAGACAACACCACAGTGGTCTTTCACATCAACCACCAGGGGGGCACGAGGTCAAGGAAACTGTTGTGCTTGACTCAACGGCTTCTGACCTGGGCAGCTCCACGCATAGCCAGCCTCAGAGCAGCCTACATCCCAGGGCCGGAGAACGTGCCAGCAGATTTTCTATCCCGTCAGAAGCCGCTTCCAGGGGAGTGGAAGCTTCACCAAGAGGTGGTGGAGTGCATCTGGAAGGTCTTTGGCAGGGCGGACGTGGACCTCTTTGCCTCAAGGGACGCATTTCACTGTCCCCTTTGGTTCTCGTTGGACAACAGCAGCCCTCTGGGCCACGATGCTCTGGCACACGACTGGCCCAGGACCCTCCTTTATGCCTTTCCGCCATTCAGCCTACTTTTTCAGACTCTCCTCAGGGTACGTCAGGAGGGGCACAGGGTCCTGCTGGTGGCCCCCTACTGGCCAGCGAGGACTTGGTTTCCTCTACTGTGCGAGCTCAGCTCCGGCTCGCCAATGCGTCTCCCCTCCAGGAGAGACCTTCTTTCCCAGATGGGGGGTCAGATCTTGCACCCCGAACCGGACCGGCTCCAGCTCTGGATTTGGCCCCTGCAAGGCCGGGGTCCACCTTCTCAAGATACACTGGGTCCATAGGGCATACAATGGCTAATGCATGGGCGCCGTCCACGCGAGCTGTCTATGCTAACAAGTGGACGGTCTTTGCGACCTGGTGCCGTGATAGAGGGCAGGACCCGGTGCAGTGCTCAGTTTCTGACATACTGACCTTCCTGCAGGCATTGCTGGATCAAGGACGGTCCCCATCTACCTTAAAGGTGTATGTGGCTGCCATTTCCTGTTGGCATGTTGGGCTGAATGGTTGTTCTGTGGGCCGAGACAAGGATGTTGTACTGTTTTTAAGAGGTGCTCGGCGTTTGCACCCACCCAACCGCCCTGTGGCACCGGCGTGGGACCTTTCTCTTGTGCTTGAGGCTCTTCTGTCCCTCCCATTTGAGCCCCTGGCGTCGGCGGACCTCAAATGGCTCTCACTGAAGACTGCGTTCCTTTTAGCTATGGTTTCCGCAAAACGTGTAGGGGAGTTACAGGCTCTCTCGATAGCCGAACCCTGCTGCCGGTGGAATCCTGATGGCTCAGGCGTTACACTGTGGGCTGATGTAGCATTTATTCCTAAGGTATCACTGCCAGCAGGCAGCACCCAGCCTCTCCATCTTGCCCGGTTTGACTCCGGAAGTCCCTCTGAACCACTGTGTCCTGTCCGTGCCCTTGAGACATACATCAATGCCACGGCATCCTTCCGAAAGACAAATAGCCTTTTTGTTTGCTACGCTGGCTCACGGAAAGGTCAGGCACTTTCTAAGCAGCGACTTGCACACTGGGTTGTGGATTTGATCTCCAAGGCTTATGCCTTGCAGGACCGGCCACTGCCGGCGGGAGTGAAATGCCACTCTACAAGGGGCATGTCGACATCGTTTGCTGCTATGACTGGGGTGCCATTGGATGTTATATGTCGTGCGGCCTCCTGGAAGTCACCTAGTACCTTTACTCGGTTCTACAGGGTGAATGTGGCTGCGCCCCATCCGCTTCAGGGAATCCTCGAGCAGCATGCCTCTACATCACATTAGGTGGGTGGTGTAGTCGTTGTTCCTTGAATGTTGCTGATTCCTCGTGACCTTGTTGATATGAGTCATCCAGTGCTTGAAGCACCGCCTCTGGCGGTCAGTAGGGATGAAATAGAACGAAAGTTACTACCGTAACTACGGTTCTATGAATCCCGGATGACCGCCAGAGTGCTTGGTCCCTCGGAATCTCTGCTTTCGCGAGAAGATTGAGGGATTGATTGCCGGGTGCCACGTGACTATATAGAGTCACGTGGGTCCCCGGCAGGTCACAGCTGACTTTGTTGTCATTAATACTCGACCTGCGCATGCGCAAGAATGATCATTCAGTGCTTGAAGCACCGCCTCTGGCGGTCATCCGGGATTCATAGAACCGTAGTTACGGTAGTAACTTTCGTTAAATACTCTCCAATCCTGCCCAAATATGTGAACTAATAATTTTCTATTAAATTAAATTAAATTAAATACTGTTAAGTCCCTGTTTCAGCAACAATTATCCCATTTTATAAAAAATTTTCTGAAGTCTAGCTGGGCCCTACAGAAACAACTAAAATATGTATCATAGCCATAGCTGTTACAATTGGTTTGATCAGTTTTCTAAAAAATATCTATACATATCTGGTGATTTTGCCACTAAACTCACAGAATATTTCCAGTAGCTTGTTTATTTGATTATAGCAAATATAATGGATATAAAGCAGAGGATATATGTATTAAAAGCAAGATAATGTATTTCATAGCAAAATTTAGCCATATAATCCGTGATATTAGGGGGCATACGGATCAATAGTAATAAAAAGTCTCATCAAGTTTCACCACTACTAAAAAAACAAAACAAAACAAAAAAAAACAGCACAAGTTAAGACTCGCTGTTTAACATACCTTAGTCCATCTGCCACATGCAGGGCGATCCTGTGCTGCAGTTTTCGGTTGAGGCTACTTTTCTCATGGCCAAAGAAGGAGTCTAGAGAGCCTCTGAGAGCCAGCTCCATCACCAGGACCCGAGGAGCAGAGCTTGCGGCCAGCAGCCCCACCAGGCTGGGGTGACGGAGACGGCCCAGGACTGCCAGCTCCTGGGAAAGAAGAATATCAATTTTAGTTGTGGAAACAGATCCAAAGATTTTTGTTTTTTTGCTCATAAGCTGCAAATAAGCATTTTTATAAATATCAGAAAGTGATTGGCTCCTACATATTTTCAAAATGCACCAATAAAGTGGTCTTAACACAGTTTACGTTCCACAATGGATGCATTTAGACCCCATTGATTTATCCAAACAGCCTCTCTTTTATTTTGAAATCCCCAATTTCCTGTGTGGTTCATCTGGGTTTTAGAATAAATACATTTTTCTTCATCATCAGCTAAAAAGAAGAAGATTTGATCCATATTTTAGACAGATGAAATAGAAGGGCTGTCCCATCATTCTCCATCTCCACAGAGTGAGTGGGAATTACCCCATCCACTACAGAGGCTTATAATTGCGAGTAGGGTTGTCACGATACTAAACTTTTCAACTCGATACCGATACTAAGGAAAATATTCGATACTCGATACCATTTTCGATACCACAAGAATAAAAACAAAGACTCCAAAATTCTACAGAAATATTTTCATTAATAAATAAAATACAATAAATAAATACAATAAAGGTTGTATGCTGTGCACAATATTAAGCAAGCTTGATAAAAAACTTATAAAATTAAGTGTTCCTTCCCTGGCTATGCTTTGCACACATAACAATGACACTAGCCAAACTGGTTAAGAAACAAAAATAATTCTCAGCAGCTGCAACAGTCTGAAACTGAAAAGTGCACAGATTTATTCAATCATACAGTGTTCTGAAAGTGCATTGTCATCTATTCTGCACTTTAGATGAATGACTGCTTAGGTGCCACTGGTGGTGGCACTGTATCGATACTTTAAAAAACGAGTATTGTATCCGGATACAACGTTTCAGTATCGATACTTTTTTGAGTATCTATACTTTTGACAACCCTACTTGCGACGGAGAGAAAACCCCACGGATGATGTGAATGTGGGGTAACACCACCTTCCGCAGTCAAGTCTTCTAGCAGTACCTGTCTGAGTAGTCTGTGGACGTAAAGCTCAGAAGCATGTTTGTTGAAAATCTTCAAAGCCACCTCTTCATTTTTATAAACTCCGCGATAAACTGTTCCAAAACCGCCATCCCCTTCAAAAACACAATTGACACATTTAAAATAAGTGCAGGGCAATACATTTTAAGACATTTTATAAAAATATTTTTTTTTAAAAGAGCTGTACCTAGTCTGTTCTCCAAGGAGAGGTCCACTTCCAATTCCTCACTGTCCAGTAATGTTCCTGCAAGTTGATCATCCAGTACCAGGTCCGGGGCAATCTGAGAGATCGGAATCAAGCAGCGAGGATCCTCTGGGTTCACCAGTAAAAAATCTACCATCGACAAAATTGATTTAAGGTTATTTAAGTTTGAATAAAGCTAAGGCAAAATTAAAGGATTAACCAGTGGCGGCTGGTGAAAAATATTTTTGGTGGGGCTGATATAGCCTAGTGTATGTCTCCAACTAATCCGGAATAAGAATTCAAATAAACAATTGGACAATACATACAATTTAACAGTAATGATTTAATTTTCTATATAATAACAGTAACAGTGATGATTTGGGTCACTGTGACGGGGTTCTTTGGCCTCCAAGAATCCAGGCTCAGTCGGCTTACCTGTGTTGGTGATTTATTGTGCTCAAAAACTCAAAACAGGGTGCAAAAGAAACTAAACATGTACAAGATACTCTGGGCCTCAGCCTCCCTCCAGTTACCAGCAATGTAACAAAGAAACAGAAAACAAAAATGGCCTCTTTTCTTCCCACAGCCCTCATAAAATAGTTTAAGCCCCTCACCTCAGGCTCTCTTATTTCTGATTTCTTCTCATTAATCAGTTTTGTCCATATATTACCTCCACAAACAATTGATGTACAAAGACAAATAATTTTTACAACTTAATTATTTTACACAGATTCATTGACTTATTCAATTACACCAAACTGGGTTTGAACCCAGCAAAGACGCAGGCAGACTGAAGATGACAAGTCCCCATAGCATAAACACATACACCCCCCCCCAGGTGACCAGGAACAGCTTGTGTGTTTTAAGTTAATGGAACTACTGGGCTCAGCACGAGCGGATTGGTCCTCACAAGCACAGTATAGCAGGAATGTGTGTGTGGCGCGCAAAGTTAGATGATGTTTTAAGCGACGAGGTGGATTCGTCACAGTCACAATAACCATGACATGAAATTTTCATATCCTACAACAGGGATGTTCTTCTGGCAAACGGGTAGATAAATAAGGATCTCACCGAATTTGGTGGAAGCTGCACCTCGTTCGTTACATTCGCCATCTTCCCTCTAATTGTCTGCACCTGCGCTTGGGTTCAGAAGCCTGTTAAAGTGCAGTATTTTCAGAGCGCCAAGACCATAAAGTTCTGAGACGCTGATTGGCCATTAAATTCCCCTAGCAATAGTACATGATTGACAGATTCTCTGCAAATGTGGCGCAGTCTGATCACAGCCCCAAGACAGAGACTGTAGGAGTCTGTCTGTGGAAATCCACAAATGAATGACAGTAGATAGGGAAATGTAGTTTATATAATTTGTTTTGCTTATAGGTACACACTCTAGAGAGTAAAACTGACATTTATGAGTTAATTGCTAAAAATATATTTTACGTTTCTCTCTTCTTATCAGGGAGGGCGGTGCCCCAGCGCCCCCTATTGGCCGACCGCCACTGGGATTAACTAAACTGTGAGTTTTAAAATCACTTTTAGAAAATCAATTAAAGGTATAGAGGAGGATCTTTTATTTCCTGGTGGATCATCTAAATAAGTGGTGTTCCTAATTGTCAGTCATTCTGGGGATGTGTTCACGTAAGGCCGTCCAACGTTCTCGTCCCATTAGCTATATTTTTCTGCGCATGCACACTTTAAGGTGTCTATGTGTGGTGAGCTACAGTTTCAACCAGTCATTGAAGCTTACCTTTCTCACTACGGTTCTTTGAAAATGGCCGAGGGTCGTAAGAGAAAACGTGTCTATGAAGTGTACGAGAAGAAGAGAAAGGCCTCAGAAGAGGCAGATATGTCCCAGAATGCTTTGTGCTGAGAGCTTTCCTCGCAAAGCATTATGGGATTTGCTGTCACAGCGGCCCGCTGTCGCCATAGGCTGGCGCTACCAGTCAGAGGTGACTAATAACAAAGATGGCGCAGGCACCGCGCCATGGAGGAGGAGTTGACCAACGGGGAGCAAAAAGCAGTGATTATCTGTAAAAGTCAGTTAACTGAGTTCGCTATAAAGTCCACTGCTCTATATATAGTGATATAGGGATTTGGGGGTTAGGGTGGACATAAGCGTAAGCTTGTATGAGCTATGAGAACATCAAACTTTTAAACAGAGGGTGCATGAGGAGAAATGGGCTTGTGGGTGCTCTTGTGGCGTTCCCTCTCGGGAGTGGGTACAGGGTTGTGCTTGTACATTTTTTGGAGAGGGCGGGTCTTTTAAAAAATTCGCTAAAATCCTCCACAATACCTTTAACTCTGTTTCACAACAAATTCAATTAAGACCAAAAAAAGCATCATGTCATCAGCATACATGTTGAATTTCTTGTGGGGAATTAAAAACATCTACCTTTATCAAAATGATTACAGAGGTCTTCTAGCAGAATCTTGCTCCACTCCTGGCCATCTTCAAAACTATAGAGAGCCCATTTCTTCAGCAATGTTTCTCCATTGCCATGCATGTCGGTGTTGAGCAGACCTGGAAACCACTCCTCTAGTACAGAGTCGACATGGTCCACCACTTGGCCCAGTAAAACCCGGCCTGGGCCAAAATAGACAACAGATAACATAATATAATTAGATAAGTAATATAATTACATGTGGCCACTGATGTGTTTAAACCTACAGAATACAATCACATAAGAGGACAATCTTTTAAAATTTAAAGAATACATAAAAAACCTCTTACTTATGCTTTTTTATTTTTAGGACTTTATATATTTTACTTTTTAGATATTCTTTAAACCCTTTCAAAGACTACAGTACCTTTTCGAGATGAAGGCACGGTTATCCTGACAAAGCTGGATGGATTCTGCTCTTCTGAGGCGGCTTCCATGAGACAGTAAGCTTCAGACGACCAGTTAAGGTAAATACCTTGCCTCCAGTAAATCCTGTTGGGTCGAAGCACCTTTTCTGGAGAGGAAAGAAATATGTTGCACATTTAGTGGCCACTTCCTTCTTTCTTCAAATGCCAAAAGGTCACATCATAATACACTTACGAGCACTTTTATTTAAAAAAATAAATAAAAACAATCTCTAAGCGCATTTTTAAAAGTTTTATATGTGCAGATTTAATTCAATGAGTCCAATGCTCTTTCTCTGATTCTTAGGACCTGTTTCTCTGTGATCATGTAAACTTCTGTCACTTAAAGGGGGGAATTGATTTAACATTAATAAAATATCTTCAATCTAATCACTACAGAGTTAAAATAAAAGTGAGATTATCTTCTAATAAGTTTGTCGTACATTCATGAATATGTTCTGTCAGCAGAAGTAATATGCTCAAAGATGATTGTTACACTTGGAAATTTGTTTGAACTAAGCTAACATCAGCTTTATTGTTCAGTTTTAGTTTAAGTTTTTTTTTTTTTACATTTCCAATCAGCTTATGGCAAATGTGAAGCACTTTTTCCTTTGTGTACAAGATTGTATTAATAAAATTTTTGGTTGATGAAAGCGATGGATGTTGGTTTTAAGTTAATTCTTTAAGAAAACAGTGATTTTGCTTGTAGTTTATGTGCAAGTATTTTAGATAAAAATGCCTGTATAAATATTTATCAACCATCCTTTGGTATCATTATGACAAAAGTGACCCACAAGTGTATATTATGCTCCATGGATGTATTGGTACTTTTATTCACCACAATCTTATATAATCCTAAACCAGTGTATATTTTACACGACATGTGCACACGAAGTAGTGTAAAATACACAATTTAGTGACCATGAGGGCAGCAGAGCATAGAACGCTTTGGTTACATTTCGGGCCTTGATGGGGGGATTGTTGAACTCTGGATGATCTTGAAACAAAACTAGCTCAAATTATTATTTTAACCGGAAAAACATCCACTAAGGAAACATTTCAGTTTATTTGCAGAGGTTTTTTTTTTTTTTAAGTGGGTGGGGTGTCTGCTTTACGAAGCTAAGCATCGTTTGCGGTCACCGAATTGTGCGCATGTAGTAAATGCACTCCTTTAACATTTTATAAGATTGTGGAGAATGATAACAGGTGGTACTGATGTGCGCATGGAGCATAATACACGCTGGTTCACTTTTGTTGTAACAATGACACCATGTATGTGCACTTTTGGCAAAATCCAGACTCCATAAATTGTCACACTGCTTCTTATCTTGCTAGTGCCTTAAAAAACATTTATTAACTTGATGTGAATGTGAGAAACTGAACGATGTTTCACCCTGCCACATCTCTGAGGCATGTTTGTCACTTTTGTTCAGTGGTAGGTGCATGTCTGCAAAGACAATAAGGTGGTAAAAGGCTGCTAATAAGGTGGCTAACTTTTTATGAATGGGATTAGCTTTTTTTGTTACTATGCTAACTATATACATCTGAAAACGGCAATCCCAAGATGCACCTTTACCACAATATGATGTAAGGTTTGTTTGTAATGGCGATACATTTGAAGTTATCACAAAATCTGCCATGAAACAATATATATTTGATTCAATTTGCAAGTGTGTGATCAATATGATGCATCATCATCTGCCATCTAAAACCATAATTTCCACTGTTAAATTAAGTGGTTAAATGATTTTACCATTTTAGTTAGTTTTCCTAAATGAATCTGGTGAGCTGAACATAGGTTACTTAAGTTGATGTTATGGTTAGGTTTACCAGCCTGCTTCTGATGAGCTCATATTCCAAACACTGCATAATACCCTGGAATCTAAGGCTTAGAATTCATGGCAAAGTATGTAACTTCTTATTGGACTCATTGTATTGTTTAATCTTTTTCCTTCATTAAAAAATACATTTTGAATGTAGGAATTGCGTTGTGATGCTCCTGCATTGTAAGGACTTTATCTTTTAGTTTCAAGCATTCAGCATCCTGAGGTGAGTAAAGCATCAGTATACCATAACAAAAAAAGTGGGTCATTGCAGCGATCTACAAGTCTTCAAAAAGTCAGTGGCAACCTTGCACACCACATATGGCGAACTGCTTGTTCATGTATGCAACAGAGTAAAATGTTTCTTTAAAAGGTGGGGTAGCATTTTTTTCCTACGTGTCTTCCTATGCATTGAAATATAAAGCATATATGCAGCAAAGTAACAAGGAGCAGAAATGCTACGAGCAGCCATTATTGATTTTACCTCTTCCACAGAGCAAATACGAAGAAACCTCTAAAAGGCGACTTATCTGCCGGGACCAAAAATCCATGGGGAAGTACGGCATCTCATACAGACGTATAATGACCTCAGAGTTCTCACAGTGTGGTAGCTCTATAACTGGTCTGTGTTTGGACAAACTGTTCAAAATAGGACATGTCAGAGAGCAGGAGACATCAGGAGGCTCAAGACATACGCATTTCCAAACATAGAAATCTACCCCTACCTGCTGGGTACCAACAGCTGGTCCTCACCAAACGGAAGGGCAATCTGAAACTTCTCCAAAAGTTTAAAGAACTGGACAATGTGGCTCTTTGGGAAACATTTGGTCTCCAACAGAAATCTTTCCACAACAGAACGTTGAACCACTCCTTTTGGTTGCTCCAAGAGGCCACAGCTCTTTAATGTCAGTTTCTGCATAGAGGACATGTACCACATGTATCTAGCACTTAGGTTTAGGTCACCATACCTTACCAACAACATTTATATAACATTAAATCCATAAATATGGGATGTTTGAAAAAAAAAAAAAAGGTCTAGTATGAAAGATTTCCAATGTAAGACGATGTACTCCTAAGGAAATGTCAAAAAGAGTTTTGCACATTAAGTAAAGAAAGCCAAGTTAATGTTTTTTTTTTTTTTATCACTTTTGAATCGCTTAAGCCCTGAAGAAAACTAGTTATAATGCATCTTCTTTACAGCGGGGGGAGTAATTCATGTATGAAAAAAAAAAGACCCCATGTCTGAGCTCTGTAGAACATCAACTGTAATCAAGATAACAAAATGCAGTCCACAGCGAGTTATAAATACGACCAATATTGCAATGCAGAAAACATCTATCTTAAATCCCCAGTATTCAACCTCAGTATCCAGAGGACATGTTTGGCCTGTTGCATGGAGCTTCCCTGCAGTTCAGGCCTAAAATATTATTTGATTTCCGGTCAAGGAGAAGCAAGGCTGGTTTAGATATTATTGTCTAACGACTTCAATTTGTTCATGTTAATGATCGATCCTCCTTAAGCTCAGTGGCAGCTGCTGCTCTCTGAAACAGGAGAAGCTCAGTGGTGTTATTAAATCCAAACGGCTGATTAATTCCTGTTAATAATCTATGCCCTCAAACATGAGGATATTTGAGGGCATATATGATGCAGATTAATGACTACATTTATGAAGTTTGACAATGCATATTTTACCAATAATTTTATGAAATTTAAAGGGGAAGTTTAGTCTCCCTAGTATTCATTGAGAAATCACCATTGCTCAAGAATCAGGATTACTTGTGGAGTACCACAGGGATCAGTGCTAGGGCCAATTCTCTTCCCTACACTGCAAAAAAATGTTAATCTAAGTCAACTTTTCTTAAAATAAGTGCATTTTTTTAATTAAGCAGCTGAGTGAGACCCTTTTCAATGGAATAAGATGATTTAAATTTGAAATACGGAAAAAAAACAACTGCATCATCTTATGTCAAGTCTATAATATCCAAATACCTTATTTTGAGCGTAAAAAAATACTCATTCCATTGGGAGATCGTCTTATGTACCAACTCAAATTAAGGTTGAATACACTTATTTAAAAAAAATTCTATTTATGTTTAGATATTTTTAGTAGTGTATATGTATATATGGTTTCAATTGGTAGAATTATCAGACAGCATGTGATTAACCTTCTGTTATGCTGATGATACTCAGCTATATTTGTCCCTAAATCCTGATTAAACTGAAAGGCTAGATAGACTCGAGGCATGTCTCGAAGACATAAAAAACTGGATGACTTTAAATCTTCTCTTTTAAAATTCTGACATAAGTTATATTCTTAGCACCAGTCTTTGAAAAAGAAGCTTAGTAATTTAATTGTCCTTGAAAGGAAGTGCATACAAAGTTTCAGGGGTGTTGTTATGAAGCTAAAAAGAAAAGGGTGAGGAAAATATGGGCAAAGCAAAATATCAATCATTATTAGAATATTCAACAATAATCTTGGTCCATTTTCATCATACTCCCTCTCAATTGTTATGAACAGATGATTTCATAAAAAAAAAAAATTCACATGCTTACCTGAGATAGAATGTTACACAACCATTGAGGGTCAAGAAAATAAAGTTCTCGAAGTTGAAGCGCAGGGTCGTCAAAATGCAATAAAATGCCTGAAATGAGAAACCATTAAAAGCTATTAAAATAATGGCTTAAACTTGCTGAAATCAGAATAAATTACTGTGCAGGAAAACTAATGTTATATAAACTAGAACACAGGTTTATACCAGACTTTAGGCATTGCCATTAGAACATGTTTGAAACTGGTGCCAGCATTAGAAATAAAGCCCAGCTCTTAACTGACCAACTTCACTAAGGAAATGAACGGCGTGAGGCAGCTCAGCTTCCTCCAGCTGCAGCTGACTTTCCTGGATAAGCTGCAGAAGCTTATCGTGCTTGAGGACAGGAAACTCTGGTGGGACTTTGGTCCTTTCCTGGAGGATTCTGCGTTCCAGCTCTACATAACTGTCCGGCACCAACTGACCCATAATCTGCTGGCCCTGGATCTGGTAAAAAGGGTGTCAACAGGTTCAATCGGGATGGCTGTTCCAATGCCTGATTTCCTGCATGCTTCCCATTACCTTGAAGCTGGTGACCTCTCTGATGATTGCTTTGCGAAGTCTGACAATGGAGTCAGAATCCTCACAAAGTGAGACCATGTGATAATCTCTGATGGCCGGGAAGCTCTGATGGTTAAGCAGCTCCGCTCTGATTTTACTTAGGCAGGACTGAAGCTGCAGCTCCTCACTCACATCAGTGTGAGTTCCAATGAGGATGACTGGAGAAAGTGGAGCCACTGCCTGAAAATAAAAGAGTAAGAAAGTGAGAAACAAAATAAAGTTTGCACAAAAAAAAAAGAAGTAGTTTGTCTTAAATATGTAAAGCCTTTGTGTGAGGCTCACTTTAATGTTGAAGAGCCATGGTTTGATAGCATCCACCTGACTGGCTCCTTTACTGAGGTTGTAAACAACCAAGTAGAGAGCTCTGGATGTCAAAAAGAGAGGATGAGAGCCAGTCAGCTCCGCTCCACCTGTGGAGCAAACAGGATTACATTGTGTTGAACTCATTTTGCTCTTAAAATGTCAGATTTTGTCAAATCCAAACATGAATTTTCGAAGTAACATTGTAATATGAGATAGAATCTGCAAAAATCAACTGAAATTAAAATAGAAAAACGCAAATGCTTAAGTGTGCACCGTCTTTTGATTCGTTTTGTGTTTTGCCAAATCTTTACTTTGAAATATGTTTTCATTCTGATTTGTCAAATTTCTTCAAATCCCACTGTGTGGTGGAAAAATCCTCTTTTTTGGGATATACCACAGATTTTTTAGATAAGCCAATCCACAACTTTGCAGATAAAGCCCTGCTATTGTTGACTTGAGTGAATGTGAGGGCTCCCAATGGGGCTAAAAATAAATCAGAAATAGACCCCTAGTTTAATTACTATGGAAGCCCATTTCAGCCATTTAAAAGAAAAACAAAAGCACATACTATGTCATAAGTATGAGATTTAAAGTATTTGTTATATGATGCTTTATAGGTCATTATTATAATTTTGATGGTTCAAATGATAATTTTGCATCTCATAATTATGGCCTTTTTTTACTTTTAAGTGGTGGAAATAGGCTTTCACACTCTTCAACTATTGCAAAGAAAAATAAAAAATTGCAATATTTTACTGTGTTGTTTCTGTTCACTTTTGTGGTGGATGCCATGCTGCTGTTTTATTCCAAGCAAATATTTTTCCGTTGAAAGCACTATCACAAATTAAACTGTTGGAAAAAAAACTCTAAATCCGGCCACATATCGATGATCTGCATCACACTGATACAATCATACCAAAAGAACTCAAAAATGTTTTTCTACTGCATTTTTGCTCCATATATATTTGTTGTTGCACTGCTTTGAACTTCCACATCAATGCCCTTTAGTACCGAGTAGGAGGGGAGTGGTGGCCCAGTGGTTAGCGCATGCAGCTTGGAATCCTGAGGTTGTGGGTTCGAACCCACTCCCACAGACTGCCACTCTGGCTACCTCTAAGCAGGACTCTTAACCCCCAATTGCTCCCTGGGTGCCCCACGAAGGCAGCCCACTGCTCCCAAAGGGGATGGGATAAATGCAGAGGTTAATTTCTCCAATATGAGATCAATAATGTTCAATTATTATTAACATGTTTTCTCCCACACTGTTTACATTTGATCACTCCTGTACTTTATGTTCCTTTTCACGGCCAAGCTGCAGCTCATTAACTGTCTAAAAGCTGTATTAATGATATCTCATTTTGCACTCTGTATACAAAATGATTATAAAGTCTAAAAACAGATCATCAAAAACATCAATAGGGAAGAGGGCTCCTATAGACTCTAGACTGCAGGTCAGAGACTGAAATAGTCAAAATGAACATATTACCAAGTTAAAGAAATTATTCTAGACAGCAAGAGCAAATTTGTTCATTTTTCAAAGCATAACAGAACATTTATCGTTCCACACCACTAATGTATTTCTGCCCGCCCATTATCTCTCTTTTCCTAAGTTACTCTATAACCTGCTGCTATAAGGCAACTACAGTCAGACCAATGAAAGTTATTTACGATTAGTCTTAATGTGATGTGAATTTGTAAGCTTTGGTAAAGTTGTGTTTTGTTTTTAAGGCCGTTCTAGGGAAGGAAATTGCATATTAGTCTAGCTATAAATGTTTTAGTGCCAAACGTTCACATACCCCATCATATAAATAAACAAATAAAACCTAAGTGAGGTTACATTTATTTTTACATCATTCTAAACTCCCGTTAACAACTCCTCCTCTAAGCCCTGACATTTTAAAGAAGGCAGGGGATTATCACATAATAAACACAAAAACCACAGAGATTCCAGCCGCGTCCAGTGTTGCTTCATTCATACCAGAAATCAAATTTAAACCTTTATAACTTGCATTAAATACGGTTTCAGCTCAAGGAAGCAAATTAACAACTATTTTTAAAATGCTTCCAAAACAGCTGATCTTCAAGTTCAATTCAGTTGATCTTTTATGAGTTGTGTTCCTACAGAGACTAAATGTTGAAAAAGTGTTAAAACGCAGTTCACAGGTAAAGTTGTGAGATAAAGCCCACCTGAGAAGTCCCAGACATTCAGCAACATTTTCTTCTTGTCCCGTTCCTTGATGGTCCAGTCAAAAACGTCGACAGCACTCTGCTTTGAGTTCTGCTGACAGCGTTTCAGCTTCATCAGCTGCCTGACAAGGGTGCTCTTCCCACAGCCGGTGTTCCCAACTACAATGAGTTTCATGCGGTGGTACGGCACTGCCTTCTTTAGCCGCTGCTGCAGGAACCTGGGAGGTGATGTAACACATTATCATCAGTGTAATCGGCTGTGAAATAGAAATGATTCTTAATCAACAGCTACAGAAATCTGCTTTGAACCCAGTCTAACCTGACTACATCTTTGGTCTTGTTGCCAAGAACTTTCAGGTCCAGCTCCAGTCGAAGGCCGTCCAGTGGCAGGTCCCACAGTCTGCCCAGCTTCCCCATCTCATTCGGGAAGGACCTGAGGTTAGAGTTACGACTCACATCCAGAGACGTCAGTCCTTCCATCATGCCGATCTGTGGCGGGATCTGAACCCCAAAAAAACACAATGGTCTATATCATTCTCCCGGGTAAAATTCATATATATATATATATATATATATATATATATATATATATATATATATATATATATATATATATATATATATATGTGAATAAAAATAAACACCCGTTTTGTTTTAGATTTAGATATTTAATTTCAACCATGACCTCTAGGTACTATTTTAATCACTTCATATGTGTTTAATCTAAAAAAACATAATAAGGTACCTCCAAAACTGCCTTATAATGCCATAACAATATGGGCCTTAATTCAAAAGATGTATACAATACAAGAATAAGTTTACACCTTATTTGAATACTAAGAAACAGAAACTATAGGAGAAATATTCAAAGCAAGTATTTGTGTCTTTTATATCTGGGGTCTTCATCCCAAAATAAACACACAGCGATTAAATATTTATTCTGGATTAAGGGTGGGCATTTATTGCATTACTTATTGTTATTGTGATTTATTTCTAGTCATAATAACAATTTTGATTCATCGTTTAAACAATAAGTTAGAATTTGCAACCATAAAAAAACAAAAAAATAAAAACAAATTAATATTTCTTTTTTTTTCCTTGCTTGGTCATTGGAAAACTAGAAGAATATGACAGAAAACGGCTACTATGTTCAGTGATATAAGCCACTCTTCTTTGTGTAACTGTTGTTTTGAAGAAGCCTAATTGAAATGTGTATATTTTTCTAGGGCGGTGTTTGTAATTGTGGGGCTGATTGTTGTGACCTGCAGTTATAAAGCTACCCAGGAAAGACTTCAAAGAATTAATCAATCAATTTTAATGTTATAAAGATAGTTTCACAAAATGTTGTGATAAGATTTTTTTTAACCATATGCCCCAGCCTATTCTGGGGGATATGGTTTAAAAATGTAGGGATTCATTTGGAAGACATTTAAGAAAATTTTACATAAATTCTTGTGCGCAGAAAGAAATAAAATCCTGAAAATTAGACAAAAGTATTTCTTACATTTTGCAGATAAATTTCTGGACAAGCTGCCAGAGCAGAGTTTGTCAGAGTTGAAACGCAATAAATAAGCCTGTGTGAGATTTAAACATCTTTCTCACTAAGATCTGAGATTGGTAACTGTGCTGTCCAGCAGACAGCTGGTCTACCTGGAACTGCACACGATCCCTAAATGTTTTACTGGTAAGCCGTACGGGACCAGCCCAGGTCATCCTGATCAGGAATCTGTCATTAATATTCCTTATTTCCTTCACCTCACTCAGCTTGTTGTCACTCAGATGAAGTTTCTCCAGTCTTGCCCATCTGTAGATTGGTCCACTCAGATCCAGGCCTTTGATGCAGTTCTGACTGAACATCAGCTCTCTGATATTACGGGACGCCCAGCATCCCGGGCCGGGCAGAACAGCAATGCTGTTGGTCCTCATGTCCACTGAACGTAAGCTGAGGAGAGAGAAAAAAACACTTCAAAAACTGTGGGATTCTCTCAGCAAGAGAGTATCTGTGGAACGTACTTTGGTAGATGGAGTATGGCCTCAGGAATGTGATTGAAGTTGTTGTTTGCCAGCTTCAATGTCATCAACTTGGAAGGCAGCAGTGAAAGGGAACCTGGACAAGCAAAGGTAACGTTGTCTCACTTTATTCCATCAAATACTATAAACCTTAATGTAAGGTAACTACTTAACTAAAGGTTATAAACTCATACAGTTTCTCAGCTTTTTTAACACACATTTACAGCAGTTATCGTTACACCCCAAATGAAGTACTGTACTTCTGAAACGTCAGTCGATCTACAGAGTTTAGAGCCCCGACTTAAAGAAGCTTCTTAACATCTCCTGCTTTTACATCCCTGGTTTACTCCATGCTGGGAACATGTGAGGAGTTCTCTGATGGCCTGATTGGTCTAAATCAGTGGTTCTCAACCTTCGTTCTCAAATACCGCCTTCCTGTAAGTTTTAGGTTTCTCCTTAGCATCAAACACCTGACTTATATGAGGGAATGATTGACAGGATTCTGTAGCTCAGGCAGTCATTTGAAGCTGGTGTGCTGTAACAGAGACATACATGAATAAAGGTGGTACTTGAGGACCAAGATTGAGAAACGATGGTCTAACCCCGAGATTCCACATACTTTGTCAGCGCTCCACTTCACCCCGCTCACATACTTCGTGTGGATTACTTGTCTGTCATGTTAATCAATGAGAACTGTTCCTCATCCACCACACGTCACTGTCCACTTACGTCTTCTGCGTCCTTCACAGTAAAAATATGTAAGGTCAAGATCCGAAATTGCAATCGCACCAAACAGGAAAAAGAATGGCGAGAAGATCCGGTTTTTCAAATTAAATTATGGTAAAGATGGATTGGTAACTGCAAATTAGAGCATAATTCTTATATATTCCCCAAAACTAAGACAGTGTAATTAAATGATTGGATGCAATTTAATGGTACTTTAACATACCAAAAGGCAGATTTCTCAACTCTATCCAAATATTTATTTTATACCGAGAGGCTTAAAAGTTTAATCAAATCCAGTCAAAAGAAACTTCTTATTGCAGGCATAGATGAAGAGATGAGTTTGGAAGTAGAGAACAAACATAATTCATAAAAAAACTATTTTGTATGATCCAAAAAATCCTAAACTAAATATTTGGGCAGAAACTGGCTGCTGATGGGTATTTTTTAAATATGTAATATTAAATGAAGCGTTAATTTCTGCATGTTTTACTCCTATAAATTTAATAATAATATACAGGTGCTGGTCATAAAATTAGAATATCATGAAAAAGTAGATTGATTTCAGTAATTCCATTTAAAAAGTGAAACTTGTATATTATATTCATACATTACATACAAACTCATATATTTCAGATGTTTATTTTGTTTAATTTTGATGATTACAAATGACAACAAATGAAAATCTCAAATTCATCATATCAGAAAATTAGAATATTGTGAAAAGGTTCAAAATTGATGGCCCCTGGTGCCACACTCTAATCAGCTAATTAACTCAAACCACCTGCAAAAGCCTTTAAATGGTCTTTCAGTCTAGTTCTATAGGCTACACAATCATGGGGAAGACTGCTGACTTGACAGTTGTCCAAAAGACGACCATCGACACCTTGCACAAGGAGGGCAAGACACAAAAGGTCATCGCTAAAGAGGCTGGCTGTTCACAGAGCTCAGTGTCCAAGCACATTAATAGAGAGGCGAAGGGAAGGAAAAGATGTGGTCGAAAAAAGTGTACAAGCAAGAGAGATAACCGCACCCTGGAGAGGATTGTGAAACAAAACCCATTCAAAAATGTGGGGGAGATTCACAAAGAGTGGACTGCAGCTGGAGTGAGTGCTTCAAGAACCACCACACACAGACGTATGAAAGACATGGGTTTCTGCTGTCGCATTCCTTGTGTCAAGCCACTCTTGAACCACAGACAGCGTCAGAAGCGTCTTGCCTGGGCTAAAGAGAAACAGGACTGGACTGCTGGTGAGTGGTCCAAAGTCATGTTCTCTGATGAAAGTAAATTTTGCATTTCCTTTGGAAATCAAGGTCCCAGAGTCTGGAGGAAAAGAAGAGAGGCACTTCATCCACGTTGCTTGAAGTCCAGTGTAAAGTTTCCACAGTCAGTGATGGTTTGGGGTGCCATGTCATCTGCTGGTGTTGGTCCATTGTGTTTTCTGAGGTCCAGGGTCAACGCAGCCACATACCAGGAAGTTTTAGAGCACTTCATGCTTCCTGCAGCTGACCAACTTTTTGGAGATGCAGATTTCATTTTCCAACAGGACTTGGCACCTGCACACAGTGCCAAAGCTACCAGTACCTGGTTGAAGGACCATGGTATCCCTGTTCTTAATTGGCCAGCAAACTCTCCTGACCTTAACCCCATAGAAAATCTATGGGGTATTGTGAAGAAGAAGATGCAATACACCAGACCCAACAATTCAGAAGAGCTAAAAGCCACTATTAGAGAAACCTGGGCTATCATAACACCTGAGCAGTGCCACAGACTGATCGACTCCATGCCACGCCGCATTGCTGCAGTAATACAGGCCAAAGGAGGCCCAACTAAATACTGAGTGCTGTACATGCTCATACTTTTCATGTTCATACTTTTCAGTTGGCCAACATTTCTATAAATCCTTTGTTTTTATTGGTCTTCAGTAATATTCTAATTTTCTGATATGATGAATTTGAGATTTTCATTTGTTGTCATTTGTAATCATCAAAATTAAACAAAATAAACATCTGAAATATATGAGTTTGTATGTAATGTATGAATATAATATACAAGTTTCACTTTTTAAATGGAATTACTGAAATCAATCTACTTTTTCATGATATTCTAATTTTATGACCAGCACCTGTAGCTCAGGCTTTTGCTTGGCGCAGGTGGTCTGGAGCGAAGCGGGGCCGAGACGGATAATGTGGGATTCACATTGGACCAACAGAAAAATATATAGACTCAAACACATTCAGTGTGTTATAGAATAACAGGAGTCCCACAAGGTTCACTTAAAGGCCACTTTTAATAAAATTTTATGTTAAAAAAATGTACTGGACAAGTATATTTACAGCTAAAGGGCAACTTTGTACAGATATCAGAGGCTCTTCTCTGAGACAGGCTGTTGAAGAGCTTCAGACTGACTTTCAGCTACTACAGGGTGCAGGCTTTATGTTAGCTCTTAGTTCAGTTCAATTCATATTTGATCAAAAATAGTTTCTTAATCCCTGAACAAAATGAAATGATTAATTGATCTAAAAGAGTCTAGAATAAAACAAGTCTAGAATGGCGCTGCTTAAGGCAGGTGTACAGTGGAGTTGCTCTGCTAGCTTGCCTTTGATATTCATTTCCAAGAGAACTTTAATTCCTCCATTTTTGGATCAGAGTTACCTTTTTCTTATGTTTTTCGCCTCTGTTGTTAAATGCTGTGAAACCGGAGGGATTTTCACAAGTTGATGCTTTTACACCCAGGAGCAGCTCTTTAACATCTCTAAAGCTGAAATAATACTTCCAACTATTTCCACAAGAACCAGCTAGGTTGAAAATGAGGCACCGGGGATGCAGAGCAGGAGCAAGGAGAAGAGAGAGGAAGAAGAAATTTAAGCCATCTCTTCCATCAATCATAATCAGCAATATTACATCTTTAGTAAACAAGTTAGAAGAACTCCAAGCCCTAGCAAGGACCCAGCCGGAGCATCGGCAATGCAGTATTGTGTGTTTTACTGAAACATGGCTACAGTATCATATCTCGGACTCCAGCTGCCCTCTGCCAGGCTTTCTGACCACACAACCAGACGGAGATTTAAAGAAGACTGGGAAACTCAAAGGAGGAACTCTTCTAGAAACCTTGGAGATTATTTCACAAAGAGGAATTCTTCCTAAAGTCCATAACATTACAGTATGAAAAACATTGAGCATCCTTCAGAAGATCAGAAGATTTTAAAACAAGTGTCTTCAGCAACAGGCTTCTCCAGATCCGGTGCAAGACAGAACGATACAGAATAGGGGTGGAACGGTTCACAAAATCCACAGTTCGGTTCGATTCATGGTTTCGTGGTCACGGTTTTCGGTTCGGTATATGTTGATTGTTAGCCTGACATGTTGGTCGTGTTGCTGTTAGCATAAACAAAATGTGTTGCACAATGCTTGCACACTGTTGCACTTTTATCCACAACTTTCTTTCCGCCATCATCGTAGGTCACTCTAAATGCAAAGCGGTCCCATACAGCAGACCCATAAAGCGCTTCTTCTTCTTCTTGTTTACTACTGGTGGTTGGCTTTGGTTGCAGTACCGCCACCTTCTGCTCTGGAGTGTAAACGCTTCGCCTATGAGAAAAAGGAGCAGCAAATGAACTGAACGCAACACACGAGAACCAAACCGAGACAGTCGAACCGAACGGTTCGGACGGTTTTCATAAACCGTTCCATCCCTAATACAGAAGATCAACAACACCTGGTTAAATCTGACCTACAAGTAGCGGCCATTCAAAATGGCCCTTCCCATTCAAATGGCAGCCCAATGGCAGCCAACTTCCCTGCAACTCCCAGCAAAATCCCCTCCAACTTCAACTCCAACTCCTGGACATGCATATTGTTTTTACTCTGACTCCACCCTTTCAATGAATTACAGGGTCTGACCAGGAGATAACTTTTTTCTTTAGCTCTTAATGTCCACAAATCATGACAAAAAGAATATTTTAGTACAAAGATTGATGTTTAAAAAGGAAAGTGGGGAAATTTTGAATGGCTACTATTGTATGAGTTACTTCAATATTTAATATACCTTTGGGATTAATAAAGTTTTATTGAATTGAATCAAAGTGGATACACGGATAAGTCTGGTATGTCTACCCTAATATTTTTAGAGAGCATCATTCTACAAATATCCAAACATTTGGTTAAAAGACTACCTTTCTTTCAGAGTGGATATTGAAAATTTTGAGAGGATCTGAATTATCCAAGAAATGTCTGCCTTAAAGAGATCCATGAATAGTTGTAGCTAAAGTTGAAACTAAGCATCTTTTAGTTCCCAGCTCTCCGCCATACTCTCTTGTGGAAAGCGGTTTCAATTCTCCCATAATACTTTGTCATTATTACTCAGCATCAGCTTATTTTATGACAAAGGGTCACATATTAATTTCAGCAAAAAACAAACCAATCAATGCAGCAGAGAAATGGAAAACTTGTATTTTACTAAAGCTTCTTATGAGGCAATTATTATAGAGTTGACTTCTATGCTACAAGGCTTTCAAAAATCAGTACAAATCAGGATGAGAAGATGAAAACGTACAGATTTTGTTCATTGAAGCATTCAAGGTTTCCAGTTTGGGGCAGCCGGTCAGGAACTCAGGAGAAATATTCTCAACGTTATTCTTGCTCACATCCAGCAGCTTCAACTCCGGGAGATTTACAGCAGAGCACAGGTCAGTTAAACTGTTACTGAAAAACAAAATAATACAAATTTGGTTTAACAGACAGTAGTTCTACATAAAGCAAGCAGAGGTGGAAATATGTGATGAAATATGGCAAATAGTTGCGCATCCTAAATTCGGAGTCTTTTTTTTCTCCAGCTTTTTTGTTTTCATTACACTGTCAAAAGTACAGAGCAAAGAAATTAACTCTCTGCAATTAATCCATCCCATTGGGGAGCAGTGGGCTGCCATTGTGCGGCGTCCGAGGAGCGGTGTGGAGTTAAGGGCCTTTGCTTAGGAAGCCAGAGTGTCAGTCCGTGGGAGTGGGGGTGGAAACTCAGAACCTCGTAATACCAAGCACAATGCCCTAACCACTAGGACACAATCCCCCTACATAAGTAAATAAGAATCATCAGATTCTAAAATCAGTAAAATACTAAATCTGCCCATTTTTGCACTTTATTATGGAAAATATCTTGGAATAGATTTAAAATACATCTTAGGTATTTTGTGTTCTGTATAAAACAATGAGGCTGTTTAGAATGAAAATGTCGTTTGATGTGATATAAGCTGTCAATCAAAAACTTAAGGGTCAATGATGCTGCAAAACATTTTGTGCTCATTTGGCCCCGCCTTCTACCGTCTGCGAGCGGACGCACCACTGCTGACCACACGACTTGTGTTTCATTTTTTGGGTTAAGATATAAATACTACTAATGGTTCGGTGAAACGCCAGATGAATAACAAACTTTTTCACAGTTGTTTTTTGTTTTAAAGATATGATACATATGTTTAATTGTTCAATAATTATTTGCAAACATTTATAGGTGTGCTTTATTAACTGATAGAGATCTAAAAGTTTTCATCAACTCATCAGTGTGTGAATGTGTGTGTGTGAATGGGGGAATGAATGTAGTGTAAGGCGCTTTGGTCAAGTCTCCTAACTTGAATAAAGGCGTTATATAAGTACATGCCATTTACCATTTAACTAAAACTTGATCAAAACTTTTACATATGAAATGACTTAATTGTGACTCTTTCATTCAAAAGATTTAGACTAAATCTAAAAAATGAAAGGCTTCCAAAAAGAAGGCATCCTACCCCTCCATGAACAGCTCCTCCAGCTTTTCCATAGTCTGGCCCAGCTCGTAGGGGAATGTGGTGATTTTATTGAACGACAGATTGAGCTGCCTCAGTGAGGGGCAGGTGACAGCAGGATGGAAGCTCAGCACAGGACCGATGAGGTTACGGGAGACATTGAGCATTCTCAGTGAGGGCAGCGCCAGCAGGCCGTCTGGCAACAACTGAAGCTGGTTACCCTGCAGGTCCAGTCGGGTCAGGCTGCTTAAACTCTGTCCCAAAACAAAAGAAATAATTACCATCCTCCTCTATTATATGACCTAATGACGCTTGGACTGAACGCGTTACCTGGCAGATGGCAGATGGGAACTCCGGCAGACCGTTGTTGCTCAGGTCCAAACGAATGACGTGCCACAGCTGCTGTTGGACAAAAGCATCGTCCTGGAGACAGGACAGAGAGCCCAACTCGTTCCCGGACAAATCCAGGAGGCGAATTCTCTCCTTTTCTTTGGGCAGAGCAGCAGAGTTCTCGCCATACAACACTAGAGTGGGTAAACCAAAACACAGACATGCACAGAAAAGACTTGGATTACCAAAGCATGCATAACAAAGGAGAGAGTGAGACAGAAATGGTTTGAAGTGTCATGTCTTCATGACACCTGCTTTAACTTTGTTCTTAATATTCAGTTACAGTGCTCCTTTCAACCTTCTGACTTTTAAAAATTGTAAAGCCTATGCACCTGCTTTAAATTAGAAATTATGTTGTGTCTTATACAAAATCAAACAATAAGCATTGCCCCTAATGAATCACCATCAGATCCCAAGGATCCAGTTATCAAACTAGCCTAAGAAATCTGGGGTTGATCATGGAGAAAGGTACGCGTCTTTTAATCATCAGAAAACTTAGGTAAGAAGATTAACAGACTGACATGTGAGCACATGCAGATGTGGACATAATGTTGGTATCCTTTGAATAATGACATAAAAACCCACAAGGCCACAGAAATAATCTGACAAATTTAACAATAAAAAGAATTTTTATGAAAATGAAAATCAGTCATTGTTTTTTCAATCTTGCATCAACAGAAGGATTTAAAAAAATAAGGCTTGGATAAAAAGTAGCGTGGGATCCCATTTCCGGTGCAGATTGGGCACAGACGACTGATAAAAGAAAGGATTTTAAGGCATTTATTTTCTCAACAAATACAATATTAACCTTCAACACATATTTTAGTACGTTTATTATTTTTGGGAAGGGAAAACGTCTTTTAGGTATTTTAACAAAACAAATTCGAGGAAGACCCAGCAGTATATCTGGATGTGCATGCGCAAATAAGCTGATGGCGCGTTTGCAGAACGGATCGTGCTTCCGGAACGGATCGGGTAGTGACAGATAGCTTGTCGGCTCGCAGCAGTAAGGGCTTCGGCTGAAACTTGGGGCTTCGTCAGCTCTTTATTTCAGCTCTGCAGGAGTTGAGCCCAGTCTCTTCATTGGTTTATTTGCCGCATTAAACTTTAATGCGATCGGCAGCTTTAATTTAGCATTAAAGTTTAATAAATGGCAAATAAAGGCAAAATATGTGTGAATTTGGGACATTTGTTCTCTGTCGTGCCTGCTGCTAGCATGTTCTTGTGCTTAATGAAACTTAGCTCCTTATTCTTTCATTTCCAACTTTTACGTCCCTCCTCTGGCAGTTAGAAAAAAATCCACAGAAAAGCAGCACCTTCTTAAAAGCTGCATGGATCACAGGGTGGAGAAATAGTAGCAGCTTATAGTCCGGAAATTATTTTTAAATATACTTGACTTGAACTATTTTCCACTTTTTATCCAAGTATGACATTTTATTAACAACTACACAGCATTGTTTCATTCTGAAATGTGTTTTCTCTTTTACAAAACAGACTTTATCACATTATTTAGTCTTTTTTGTACCTCTAGCTTTCATATCTCTATTTGTTTTGCCAATGTCACACCCAAATATTCCCACTGTGGGACAATAAAGCTTCTTCTATTCCATTTTCTCATATCATTTGCTGTTTTCAACATAACATCTCTGAAAATCACAGGAAGCATCTATAAATGTGGGAATATTTTTCTAATACATCTTTTGAATCGTGAAAATGTGCCACCTCAACTTTTTAACAGTTTTGTTCCTTCTTTTCACACCGTGTTACCTGACTTAGAGTTAGTCCGTACAAATCTTCTGTGTATAGGTTCACTGTTTTCACTTTCAGCTTGAGGACTCTGCAAATGCGAGAAAAAAGATGGATCTATACTTTGCTTTGCTTTGGTGAAATATAAGGAACAACGCTAAGGAAAGGACACCCCTAATAGTGTGAAAAAACAAATGGCACTGACCTCTGAGCTGGGGTGTCTGTGGCGTCCCTGCTTCTTTTTGAAGGAGTCTCCCCTAAGCTCCTCTGCTGAGCTGTTTTTGGACTTTGGAGAGAAAGCCCCCAGCAATGAATCACTTCCTAATCACAGCAAAACACAAAAACAACAGGAACTAAACAAAAACTCCACAAATATCATCTGTTTATATATATATATTTTCAGCATGTGACTAACAGATACTTGTCAACTTTGTACAAGTGTTTCAGATCCCAAATTAGTTTTCATTTTGGACAAAGATAGTTAGGTTTTTATCTATAAGGTGGAAAAGATACCCAGACGACAGTGGGAGAAAATTCCCCAGAACTACTAGATGAACACAAGTTCATTAAAGAGACAGTGTGGAACTAATTTGGCATTTTTTTCATTGTATTAAAGTCAACTAATGTATGCCTTTAATAAATACATATACTGTGAAAAGTGTACTAACGTCACATGATAAATGAAATCGTTCTCATAGCTTATAGTTTGTAAATGCATAGGGGGCGATGGACCCAATGGGAGACGCCTTATTGGGTCGCCGTTTTTGATCAGAGTAGCTGAGTTGGGCCAAACTTGTCAGTTTTATGCCTTTTACCTCTAACTGAAAACATTTTAGTGAGGGAAAGTTAAAAACAAGCAAAAACAACCATAGATGATTATACTTTCTTTTACAGTGGAGGACGTCCCCTTTTTCCAGTGAGAGGAACGACAGAAAAATAAAGAAAGAAATTATTGGAAGAAACAAGAGTCTATATCTGTGCATCTTTAATCAGGTGGAGATTTTTTTAAGGGGGCGGGACATAAGAACAGAAACAGAGGTTTCAGGTTTTCTACTTGACAAGGAAGGTAGTTCGATGCAGCAAGTAGTCCGCCCCTCCACCAGAGATGGCAAATTTGTTATCCCATACAGAATGAGCAATTATCAGCTGTTATTCCTCACCAACTAACCAGCATATGCCTTTCTTTTCAGTCCTGTTTAAGAAAATGTCCAATAAGTTTCATGTATTTTGGCTGATTTGACAAGAGTGACAGAGGTTAATGTATCCCCTCCATCTAGAGAGAACACAATGTCACTCCCCAGCTTCCGTAGGTGATCTAACAAGCTTGACAAAGAGAAACTAGTCCATTGTTTGTAATTCATTTAATGCACCACTAGATGAAGGCAAATCTTTTTTGTGTGTGTGTCCTGTTTTGCCAATATAGCTCTAGGAATAGATGTCCCAGAGCCATCTGATAGCCCAACGGCTTTGCATTCACTAGCAGACCATTATGACTGTTGCAATATGGTTTAACTAGATACCTGTCTATGAAACTTTATTAAAATTATTTATGGTGGATAAAACAGACAGAGATAGAGAGAGGGAGGTGAGAGAGAAAGAGGGTATAAGAACTAAGGGGGGAGAAAGATAGAGATAGGAATTAGTGAATGAAAAAAGGAAAAATGAAACAAAACAGCAAGAATAGACAACACAGATGATATACAGTGATTCTTAGAAGTTTGCTTCCACACCTGCATGAGATGAGAGGAACACAATACAGAGCATAACAGCAAAAAGAAGACAACAGACAGCCAAAGGTAACAATCCCTGAGAGGCCAAATCCCAGAGGCCATGGTGCAGGGGTCCCACAGCCAGGATACATTTTATAAACCTGACTGTAGAAACCCTGTCTTTAGAGAAATGTAGTAAATACATGAAAACCCAGCAGATAGTCTGATTTAAAATATTAAAATTAAGCCTAAATTTCACCACAACAATGTGAAAGTCCTGATGGCATCACGGAGTAACACAAGCAGCCATTAGATTTAGGGGGTAAGAACTTGTTCAGATGTGTTCAGGTTAGTTTCGAAACCTTTGAAATCATCATATCATAATGGATTTTATATATATTCAGGTTACCCGTGTGCTATATGAGAAAGAAAAAACAAAAGTTAAAAATTTACCGTCACTCTCTATATCGTCGTTCATGAACAAGCTGTCATCCATAGACACGGCGCTGAAGCTGGAGTCGTCGCTTTCATCTGATATGTAACCAGAAGTCAGACACTGGTCTGACATTAGTCTGGAAAAAGCAACGACGCCCTTTGACCTCTGCAGAGACTGAATGTACCTCGCCAAGCTTACACCTTTACCTTCAAGAACAAAAAAAAAAAAAACAGGCTGAAAAATTATTCTAGGGTGGACATTTTGTCCATTTTTGTTGCAGGCAAAGAGCATGGTTTGTAAATGGAAATGTGAAAAACATGCGATCAAGAAAAAAATTATAAAAAAAAAAGGTTTCCAAAGCAACTCTGCTTTTTTCCTTTAAATATGCATTTTGATTTATTTCAACTTATTTTAAAAACGTTAAATAAGAAAATGTTTTTTGTCATGTTTCACAATTAATTTTTCTTCATAAGCTATATTTCTACTTTTCTCCTGAGTTTTATTAATTGCATTCTTTTCAAATTAAGCTTCACAGATACTATTCTCTTTATTTCAAGGACAATACAGACACTCGCTCTTGACCAATAAAAATGTAGCTAATATCCAGCAGATCAATAGAAATTCATCTTTGCTCCTCGCTCCTTAGGAAAGCATACTCCCAGAAATGAAGGGAATGTGATCAATAAAATGCAATTTAAAAATAATTTATTTTATAAAATACAGAGGAAAAACCAACCTGAAATTTGAAAATATAAAAAAATGAAGAAACTGTACATTAAAAATGGTGAAAAAATATTTAACTAAAACAATTTGAAAAAACAGCAATGTTTCTCTCAAAACCCTTTCTTGATTTAGACTTTTTTCACAATTTCATTTGATTTATTGTTTTTTTTCATTTATTAAAATTTACAAAATGTGTTTTTTGTTTGACACAATGATGGAAGAAAATTAACTCCATAGATTTCCACATCATTTTTGTTTAAAAGCTTTGAGGTAATTTGAGGAAACCGATGAGAGAAGAATTTTAGCCCTTCTTACTGTTGTAACGCAGACTGTTGGCCCTGCTCCGATCAGCCAGCAGAGGACTCAGCCAGGCCGCATCCAGTCGGCCGAGCCTGAAGCCTCCGAGGCAGAGGGCGCTGTTGTTGAGGTCCAGACCGAGCCGGCCGAGCAGCAGGATAACAATTGGCCCATCGCCCCTCTTCACGCTCACAGCCAGAGCCCTGCGGAGGGACTGCTCAGGAGCGCCTCTGCTCACCAGGAGTTCCACCAGCTCCAGAGGACCACCTTTCTCACACACCTCAGAAACGTAAAAAGGAAGCACCATGATTCCCACACTTCTTAGATCAAACAAACCGTTCCGTCAGATTTTAATTGAACTTATATAAACCAACATTCTTAGCCTCTAACCTGATAAACGAGCGACTCATTTTTTGTCTTCTTGTTGATGTCAGCGCCCAGCTCAATGAGGCACTCTGCCATCATGGTGTCGCCATCCATGCAGGCCTTTTCCAGCATGCTGTAGTGTAGCTCAGAGTCGCACCACATCTTGGACAAAGCGAGACACGCCGTTTTCCGCAGCTAATGATAGAGAGGAATACAGTCATTGAGAAAAGTTGGAACCCATTCTTTCAATTCAAGGGGCTGACTTATAACATTAATAGTCAGACTGACTGTTGACGTCTTTGTAATTTATCAAACAAACCACTGCAGTGCAGCATTTTTAGGCAGGTAGAGGTCTGGATGTTGATTGGTCGTCTTTGTTTTAGTGTTTCTAATGTAGAGAATGGCTTAAACTGAACTGATTTAGATGTTTTTTTTGTTATACGTAGAATTTTATCATCAGCTCAATTAGGGCAAGATCCTTCTGTCCATTTTCCATCACATTTACCCCAAGCTGGCTCGACAGGGGTGCTGTTGTCTATCTCCAGCTGTCAATGGGTGAGAGGCAGGGTACAACTAACACAGGTCGCCAGTCAATCGCAGGGCAACACAGAGACAAACCGGACAAACAACCATTCACGCATACTCTCACACCATTTTCTTCAAAATAAGAGCCCAAATATACACCCGTCCATATTCATGACTGTTGGCATGCTGAGCTTGTATTGACTCGCTGCATTTGCTTTTTATTTAAATAAAATTTAACTCATTATAATCTTTTGAAATATGACGAATGCCACAACACAGTAAATAACATTACATTTAAATATGCCATTATTTATTAAAATTAGATATCAATACAGAATTCATTAAAAAGCATCTAATTAATGATATGAGTCTTAACTAAATATAGTGATTTAATTTAAAAATTTCATGTTTCTTCTGTAAGCAAACCATGACGATCAGCCATAGGTTTCTATGGCAGAGGCTCTGCCATAGAAACCCTGACGTCTGGTTGACTGTTTCTCACTGAGCAGGAGAAGACAACTTCTGTTTTTTTGTTTGTTTGTTCTCTTTTCTTCTAAATATTTAAACTGAAAATAAATAAAAAAAATAAAATTCAAAAATGTGAGCAGCTCCAGCATCGATATTAAACTTTTAGAGACAAAACTATGAATATAGATGCAGGAGTGGTGAACTGGAAAGTGTCTTGAGATGACATGTGTTGTGAACTGGCGCTATAAAAATAAACTGAATTAAGGAGTCGCTAACTGAATGTGCTGTAAATAAAGATGTTTAGAGTGTTGTATACAACTCATCCAGCAAAAATCCTGACTAAGGTGCTTACAGCAAGAAGCAACTTTAAGGCCAAAATGCAAAGCACCATGTGTGGCGGAGAACTAACACTGCAAATCCCTGAAAGCACCATCCCAACTGGCACCACAGTCGTGGCACCATCGTGCTCTGGGTTTGCTTCCGTTCAGCAGGGAAAGACAAAATAGAAGGAGCTGAATGCGGGACAACCTGTTGGAGTCTGCAAAAGACTTGAGTGGAGGTTCACCTACCGGCAGAACAACCACCCAAAAATAAAGCTGGAGCTACAAGGGAACAGTTTGGGTATGGCCTAGTCAAAGTCCACACCTAAACCCATCCAAGAATTTGTGACAAAAAACCTGTCAGATTAGAAGAGAGTCATTGTGATCTGCAAGTTTGAGCCAAAGAGGAAGATGAGCAAAGCTGGTAGAGACAAACTCCAAAAGACCTTTAACTGATTACAGCAAAATGTTCCACAAAGTATTGAGAAATGCTGAATACTTTTTCCACAAAATCCTCTTCAGTTTTTATTTGTAAAAAAAAAAAGGTTGTTCATACAAGATTCCAGTAAAATATACTGATGGTTGTGGTTGTAATGCAACAAAATGTGGAGAAGTTTAAGGGGTATGAATACATTTGGAAGCCACTGTATAAAACACAGTTTGATCAGTTCCTTGATGCGTTTCTTCATAGTTTTGGGGGGATTTATAAAATTTATAAAATGAATTGCTAATCCTGGCTAAAGGAAGGTATTTGGCTCCTTTTGGCAGCTTTCACGGGATAGCTGAGTCTCATTTAGGTAAATGAACTTACTGGGCTGACGGTCTGCTCACTATCCTGCCTGAGGTGCTGGAAGATCTGTCTGTCGAAGTTTTCCCTTTGCAGTTCAGCTGCTGCCCCTGAGCAGGCGTCCAACATCCTCAGCGCCACCTGAAAACACTGAAAAAGCAGCGATGGTCACAATTATGTCCCTGAAAATACTCAAAAAGGGTTTGTCTAAATAAAACAGAAAGAGAGTAGAAAGTAGCTTTAAAGAGCTTCAGCATCTCGCCTCATTTATACAAAACAGCTAAAGATTTCAGCATATATTGACATAATCTTTCATGTTTTTGGAGGCGAAAAATAAAGACCACAGTAGTGATGTACATTAATTCCTGTTTTAGTGTATTTAACTGGTGAGTTTAATACCCAAAGATAGCTGAGAGAAATGTATCATGCAGTAAGTGGTCGATCCAAATGAAACTAAAAGCTGAAATTCAGATATAAACATCGGCTCACCTTCAACACCATCTCTGAATCGTTTCTGTACTGACTGAGGGAGGCTACCACAACAGACGCCAGGATCGGCACCATCATCCTCGACAGCTTCTTCTTCACCACCAGGTAGCTAAGCAGGGTTAGACCCCAGTAGTGTATCTCTGGAAGGATAAAAAAATGTATTTGACAAATTGAGAACTACTGTTTTCCTTTTTACTGTTGATGATCACTCACAAGATGATTATACATTTTTTTCATCTATCAGAGAATGCATCAGGCTAAAGAGCTAAAGTCCCTGACACACATTGATCATTTAGACCAGCGTTTGCCTAACTTAGGAAAAATCTGGCAAAAATGTTGGCATATGTTGGATACGTTATGGGTCAGTTTTTGTTATGAAAACGCTGAATCACGCTGGCACACATCTACATACAGCAAGTACTTCGGCAAGAAACCTTGAGCATGTTCAAACTACAGATCCAGTGCATGCTGAAAGTTTCCCAACATAAACCAGCGTATAAGTGGGGCATAAGTCACAGGTAAGATAACTGATTGTTGACGCACGTGTCAGTTACTCCTAAGTCGTGATGTCTAGCTTATCCAAAACCTATGAGTAACTTGTGCATAACTTCTCTCCAACATATATCAACCTATTTCATGTGTTCCAGACGACAGCTGAACGTGTTTCTAACGTACAGCTACTGTTTAATGGCGTATTGGCAGCGTTTTGGTATGAAAAGGGGTTCACAGGGGGAAACTGTCACTACTCCTCCAGACTGCATCCCCATCATAAGGTGAACATGAAGGAGAGTGATGGATCCTCCATGCGTTCACATTAGAGACTGACATTTTTTCAGGAATCCCATGGGATTCCCGTGGGATTGCCGTGGGATGGGAGTCAGTATTAGTAACGATCACGTGATTGGGACGGTACAGGATTAAACATTAACGGGAGCAGACGGGAGTGGGAGCAAACCAATAATAAAAAATAAAAAAAAACTAGGATCGATGCCAAAAAATTAAATAAAATTGAAAGAAAAAAAATCCAGTACTGGCGCGGCGCCGCCATTTTGTAGTTTTTTTCCTTGAAGCCTACACTATAATGTGAGTCAAAAAAAACTACAGGACCCAAAAACCAACAGTGCTTCCGCTCTGAGTTTTTCACCCGTGCTAAAAAACAAGATTGGGAGTGGTGCGGGGGCGGCAGTCATTCTGAATGGGAGCGGGATGGGAGTGGGAGTAATTTCACCAGGAGTGGGACGGGACAGGATTTAGATTTCTACTCTGGCCCGGGATCGGGACGGGACACAATTTTTTTCTGTGGGAGAGGGACGGGACAGGAGTGAAAATCCACTCCCGTGTCAGTCTCTAGTTCACATCCACGACCAACAAACTTCCTGCCAGACATGACGCTAAATCTGCCGTTTGAAGCAGTATCCATTTTTCTATTTCATTGCGCTCGGATTTATTATCTAATTAATGTAAATTGTGCTTTACAAATAAAATTGCATCGTCTTGCCTGGCCATGTGAATTTGAAATCGCTACACATCTAGGATCCAGCTGAGTATTATGAGCTGGGTCCTAGATTCAGGGGAATGTTGGCCGAGTGGTTAGAGCAGTGCGCTTGTGCGCTGAGAAGGTTGAAAGTATGCGGTTTGATCCTCACAGTCTGCACTCTGGGTTCCTGAGCAAAGACTCTTAATGCCACACTGCTCTCTGGGCGCCGCACAGTGGCAGCCCACTGCTCCCAAAGGGGATAGGTTAAATGCACAGTGAATTTCCCCATTGTATGACCAATAAAGTTAAATTTCTATCCTTATCTACAATTCGTGCCTTGAGTCCAGGAGTTAGAGAGATATTTGTTTTAGTAAAGTTTACTCCACTCTAAACACTAGTGTCAACTTGAAGGTTTTAATATTGACCTACTTACTTGTTTTCATCATTAAAAAAAATCTGTTTTAGTTTACTTTGGGTGAATTCTGCCAGAGCAGTAAAATACCTCGCTCCTTTGGGAACATCTGTAGTGTATGGAGCACTGTGTCTATCGCCCCCTGCTGGCACAACAGATCCACTGCACCCGAGCAGTCAGCCAGGGATGACAGCACCTTCAGGCCACACTGCTGCAGGATGGGTCTCCTGATGAACTACAAACACACACACATAAAGAGGATTTCAGAGAATACACATAGAAAATTTAAGAAATGCATTATTAAAAATAAATCTAACTTAACACAAAGAAGGAAAATGATTTAGAAGACAATGTTGAGGAGGAATTATTCTACAAACCCTGTTGAGGACCTCCAGGTAGAGTGTGTGAGCTCCCTCCAACACACACTGGTTCTTCAGGACTCTGAGCGACACATCGGCCATGTCAGGATCTGCAACAGACGCCCCGTTCTCCCTTAAACTCCTGTCTGGGAATTCCCACACAGAAAGGCCACAATATGAAAAATAAATGCAGAAAGAGAGAGAGGGAGAGAGGAAAACAGTATGGTTAATGACTAATCTAATTACAGCTGTACCGAGGACGGCTTTCTTCAGCAGGGAAAATCAACCAGATTTAGATGGAAGAGAAAAACAAAGCTGCAGCAATGAATCAGCTCTGCATTCCTGCTCCGAACGCAGAGCACAGCCACTTCACAGCCTCACAAACAACAACATGGGCTAAGATCACTGGGGTTTCTGGCAGATAAATAAAAGCAGAACGTATTTTCCATTAACGCCACATGTTGCTCTTTGCTGGCCTTTTTAAAAACCAGATGGAACGATCCAATCCTGCTGCGAGTTTTGTCAGTGTTTCCATTACATTCAATTATCAGAATCAACAGATGACACTTAGCACATTTAGAAATAAAGAAACATCTGTTTGTTTGCATGGGGGACATTTCTTAGTCTGAACATAACTGAGCAATTCCCTCTGGAAGCCTGCTGGGAAACATTAGAAGATATTTAGAAACAGTAACTATTTTCACAGAGCCATAGAAGGACTGCTGCATTATTTATCACTAGTCCTCCTCCCTCAGGTTCATAGCTGTCCTGGGCACCGGCTGCTTCTGCCCTGTCCTCTCTGCCAGACGGGGCGCAGCCACTGTAGTCATTAGCGACTTTAATGGGCTTCCCTTATTAAATAAAAACAAAGCAACCCACAGCTCTAAATCCTGTTGCTCCATGGTAAAGTGACACCTATAAGAAGCAGATAGAAGCTCCTCTGATCAGGAGGGAAGCTTGTGGTCCGCCGTGCTAATTACTTAAACATCAAGCAGAGCATCTGCCCCGAATATAGCAACAGAAAGCACACCATAAGGTGTATATTTGTGTACATAACAAAAACTAAAGTGATGCATTCCCTTATAGTGTTGCTTCGATGGGTCTTAGTAGAAAACAGGGTGCTGTAAATAAACATGGCAGCCATTGAACATACCTGGGCAAAGGAAGATCAGACTGGCCTCCAGAGCTGCCAGCTGGACCTCTGAATGGAAGTTATGGACCTTCATGGTTGTGAGGATCTGGCTCATGGCCATGTTCAGCTCGTCCAGGCTGGCGGTCCTACAAATGCAAGGAAAGTCATCATTAGGGGGCTAACTCTCCACTGCTAGCAGAAAACCTTGATGATCTTTAGATAAAAGAAACACATTTCATATGATCGCAAATATTATCTCACCAACAAAACCTCAGTTTTACTATTTAAATAGATTAGAGCTGAAACTATAAATGCATTATTGAGACAATCGTCAGCTGATGTGGTAATTGATTAATCTATACCTGGAGTGCACAAACTCTGCCATTAACTTAAAGAGTGACCTCAGAACAGTAATTATGACAATATTGCAAATAAATAAATAAATAAATAAATAAATAAATAAACATTATGCATTTAAGATGAAAAACCTTTTTCATCAGTGAAAAAGCTCTATCCAGAACCCCTCCAATGGCATGGCTTTAGCTTCCCCTGTTTTACATTCTGTATAAAACCTTTAAGACACCTTCAGCTATCTGATTATTCATTAGCAAAATAAGTTGCAGCCCTAATTTATTCCATCTGTAAATAAATACGAGGGATGGGAATCGAAAACCGGTTCCTGTTCAGAACCTGTTCTGTGTGTTCCAATTCCATGCCACCGTTTGGCAGCTCGCTTAACGATTCTCTTATCGGTTCCAGGCAGAACCAGAGCCTAGCGCTGGACAGCGCGACTTACGTCACGTTTTTTTACGCAAGTTACGCACATGGTATTCAGTAAGCAAGTACGACGTGACCAGGCGTAAGTCTAGAAAAGCAAAACAAAAGCGCTCAAAACGATCAAAAGTTTGGCTTCATTTTAAGGAAGAGAAAGATGGCAACAAGGTGCTTTGTAATCATTGCAAAGTGGCAATAACATCCAAGGGAGGAAATACATCCAACATGCAGAAACACCTGCGCACACAACATGGCATACATTTTAACGAATGCCGTGTTCTTGATGCTTCGAGACAGAAGCTAAAGTTACGACCAGCATGGAAGGCAACTCTGGTGGGAAGTAGCTAGTTTTATATCACTGGCTGTGCTTAACGTGGTTCCTAGTAAATCATATGCCATTTATGGAAATAAACCAATGTTCTACCTCTCTTTGGGGCTATTAAACATGCTAGGAAGTTGCTCTGCAGTTCGGGGGAGCGAGAGAAAGGTGAGAGAAAGGCTTGTTTATTTAAACAGATGCCATTATTAAACGGATGCCTTCTCCATTAGGTTTAGATGACTGTGACGAGACGGGTAGCCTGGCTGGCTCAGAGGCTGGCAGCTCCCGGTCACTGCCTTCTGTTTTCGGCGGGGAGGCAGAAAGGTGAAGCCAGGCGAAGGTAGACGAATGTCACCGTGCACTTACTAAGTTCACTGTTTCACAGAATCGATAAGGAAATCAGAAACGTGAAAATCTTATCAATTCCCTACTCTAATAAATACACAATTTTAATATAAACCCCAAAGCAGAGTATATAGTTCATCTTTACAGATATGAAATATCCAATAGTAATTCATCCTGAATCCCCTTTAGTCTAACCTTGAAGTGTAGAGGTTGAAATTTTTTTTTCTTAAATTATGAAATTTCCTTTATGTTGGAGACATGTTTTCAAACCTACTTTACAAAATAATGCGTCCTTATTGGTTAGTTTGATAGTTTGACAAGGATCTGGGTCTCTAAAGACGACATAATAAGCCTTTTTTTTTCATTGCTCCATCTCCCCTCTTTAGACAGTATTTTCTAACAGTAATTTCACATTTCCGGGTCCAAACCATCTAATTAAGGGGATAGTAAAAAGATTTTTCGGCTACCAATCCCTGGGGGGGGTTATCTAATTTGTTGTTTGTCCTTCTTGCCAATCGTTGACCCGCTGTCCTAACAGCAGTTAGCATAGTTTACTCTTGCTGTGCACTTCTAGTGTTTCTGGATCAAGTGAGCCTGGGTTTCAGAGGCGAATCATTCGGGAATTTCACAGAGTAATGAAAATGTCCTCTTTTGCTATGTTGGTGTTTTTGAACCATGTGGACAGACAAACTACAAAAAAAAGGGAATAAAATTTTCATAACATAGTAGAATAACATTTCTAATTTCTGTTCATTCTACCACAAAAAAATTTCAATATTCAAATCCATTCATGAACTTTCCATTGGCTTTATATTAAACACAATAATTCAGCATAATGGGATTATGTACATAATGAGTAAAAGACAAGCAGTTTAATTCCAAACCTTCCATAGAAAAGCAGCTTTAACAACTTGCATGCGCTGATGGAAACATCTGCTGAACCTGCGTGTCTCCTCATCATCTCCACCAGATTAACATGGAGGCCTCCAGACAGCAACAAGGAGCTCATTTTACCTGCAAGCAAAGCAGAACCCTTCTATGCACTGGAAAAAATCAAAACCTAGATAAGTCATTTCTTCTTAAAATAAGTCCATTTGTTCTTGAGTTGAGAAGGTAAAAGAGACATATTCCCAATGTAACAAGACAATTTACATTTAAAATAAGAAAACGAGATTGCATTGTCTTATTTCAGTGCATTTTAGACTTTAGACTCTTACACAAGTGTAAAACAAAAATAAATTTCGTTTGGAAACAGCTCACTGGACAATTACATCTTTTAAAAGTGTAACCTTGAAAAATAGTAAAAATGACTGTAAATTTACAGTTCTAACAATTTTAATTTTTTTTCTAAATATCTTATTTTAAGAGTAAAAATACTCATTTCATTAGCAAATCATGTCATTTACCTACTCAAAAAAAGGGTAAATACACTTAATGTAAGACATTTTTACTTATTTGTAGATCGTTTTTCCAGTGTAGAGGCAGCAACAGGTTTCTCTCAAATGTTTTTTTTTTTTTTTACCAAAGATATTCATGTAAATCCCTTTTTTGTCCCACAATGGAAAGGAAATGGAATGAAACTTGTTCTCTGCATTTTAACCTATCCCCTTGAGGAGCAGTGGGCTGCCATTGTGTGGCCCCCAGGGAGCAATAAGGGATTAAGGGTAAAACAGGGTTCCCATACCGGGAGTCCAACCCGGGCCGTCTGGGTGAAAACCAGGAATCCTAACTGCTAGAACATATGGGACTATACCATCTGCATTGCCTAGAAATAAACCAGGTTGATAGAATAATCCAACAAAACTAAATCGTGTTTGACATGATCAAGCAACTTTCAGACTGCTGCTAAAATAGTAAAAATACGGAATCTTACATAAAAAATTAAATAAGCCATCTTCATCTTCTGGGAGACAAATATTCCAGCTGTGTTCATCCTGGTCACAGATTTGTAGCTTTTCAGATCCGCACATGGTTTTTAAACGGACATGAAGAAGCATTTCCACCTGGAGGTATTCCAGTGGGGCTCCAGCTGCAGCAGAGTACCATTTCTTAGATCTTTGTAGACATGATGCCAGGATCTAATCATGAAGAGGTATGGGTCTGGTTTGGGAATCTCAAGGTCACAGCTTTGTCTTTTAGGTGTTTCTCTGCCTCAACTCACCTAAACTGAGTGAAAAGACCATCAACAGGCTTTTGTAGAATTGTAGAATTTGATGGCTGCAGAGGAAGTAATGCAATCATTTGAAACAGGCATGCTTGAGTAGACCTCATCTAAAACTTGAAGGGCATTGGGTCCTGAGGACCAGGAATAAGAAACATGGTGTAGGGAGGAGTCAGATTCTCCTAGCATGAGGCCCTGGAAAAAGGTTGAATGCTTACTTAGATTGAGAGGGAGTCTCTGCTTCATGTGGAGGAGTTTAAATGAGTTTTATCATGCGAAATTAGGGCTGGGCGATAATTCAATAACGATATATATCGATCGATAGACGTGTGGTGCAATAGAAAAAAAGTGGCTTGATAAAAGTTCGATAAAAAAAACGCAGTTTTCCTTCCTTCTCATTGTAGCCTATCATGTAGGTTTATGCTAGTCACTACTTCCTCCCAACCAATCACAATTGCGGACCCAGGCACGCCGTCACAAAGCCCCGCCCTCTCAAACCACAACACAGAGCACATGAAGATGTCGCAGCAAGGAGAGGCGGAGGAAATTGTTCCAAAGAAGGGTTTTTGTAGTTAGGCAGTCTGGAAGTATTTAGGTTATGGCAAGTCGGACAAAAAACAAACCACAGTTATCTGTAAAATGTGTCGGGAACCAGTGAAAACTAAGTCTGATAACGCAACCAACTTTTTTTTTTTTCTTTATCTATCATCTCAGCCGCTTACAGCTGCAGGAGTACGACCTGTTTAGGCCCCGGCACGGCTCTCCTCCGAGGAATCTCGGGGAAAAAAAAAAAAAAAAAAAAAAAATATATATATATATATATATATATATATATATATATATATATATATATATATATATATATATATATATATATATATTCAGTATATATATATATATATATATAGATATATATATTCAGTTCTGGGCTGTTTCCCACGTAGTTCTAACAGTTGAGAGAAAAATGCTGAGGGGCCAGCAACTTCAAAGTAATAACTCAGGTTAAAGCAGGAATCTAAGCTGAACCATAACGAGGTGCCAGCAGCACCTCTAGAAGAATAGGGGTGAGAAAAAATACACCTAGGCTAGGCTAAAGGGTGAGTTTATTTGGGTTTTTGTTCTTGTTGAGTAGAGTTTACATGGTAGCCTAGTCCTACAATCTTTTAATTACCACAAGCTGGTGGTGTACTATTCCCACCCAAATAGGGTATTCTATTTATTTATTTGTTATATTTATTTTGGTCACTTTTCTGGTCACTTTAGTTTATTCTTTGTCAGTATTTAATAATATAACTCAGTAAGTTATTTTTCTTTAAAACAATTATGGTATGGTTAAAAATGTTGGTTAAATAAAGATTTATTTGGAAGTCTGTGTTTGTGTTCTTTATTAAAATTAAATCATTTAGCAAGATTATAAAAAGTCCAGGCAGAGCTGCACATAAAATATGGTTTCAAATCTTTTCAATAATTATTGATATCGATCAATATGCATTTTTTTTTTATCGATAAGCTTTTTTTCTATATCGCCCAGCCCTATGCGAAATCACCTTTTTATTGGCTTTTAGCAGATGCATCAAAACTTTATGTAACCGTTAGCAACCCTCAACAATAGTTTGCTCTAATTGGCAGCTCCACCAGCATCTCCTAGAAATAAACCCAGCGGATATAAGAATCCAGCAAAACCCTCCAAAGCACCTAAAGAAATAGGCATTCAGCAGAAATAGTTGAAAATTGTATAAACTCTCAACTTATAATGTATAAAAATTTAATGCAAACTTAACTAAAACTAACCTTAATAAAATAATAGTAACTAATGAAAAAAATAACAAACCCGTTCAAGAACTAAACAAAAATGAATTAATTAATTCAATCTACAAAAGAAAGTAAAATCCATTTTTTTTCTAACTTTGGAAGGCAGGATGGAGTGATGTTTCTCTTATTTGGTCTTTAGATTAGCCCTGAATTACTAAATAAGACATTTAATGGTATTTTATTTTTAAGGCTGCAGCAGCTGCTTCAAAATGCTTGAAGAAGCACTATCAAACACATCTCTACTGGATCAGAGACCAATGAAGGGGTTTTCCCTAAATGGATGAACCGTACCTCTCAGCCTGATGACCTGTCTGTCTCTGGGTTTGGAAGCTTCCATTATGATGTAGAGCTGTAGGACTTGGACACTTAGTTCTGATATAGGGAACTATCAGCGATTCTGCTTACAGACGTTTCACTGTTCAGGCCATCTACGGAGTGAGGTTTGTTCCATTATCGTTGCAAGCAAAAATAAGACGTATTGTAAATTAAAATAATTTTTAAAAACACTTTTTCAATAGAAGATTTTCTACATAAAGTTTTTGAGTGGAAATTTTAAGAAAATGCAATCTTAAAATGAAACCAAAAATCTTCTCAATCGAAAAAAAAGTTTTTTACAATCCCTGCTGTTTTTCACAGATTTTATTTTTTAAATATTGTTCCTTTTTACCTTGTTTCCATATTTTTATATATTCAATCATAAAAAAATAATTTTACAATTTTATTTTATAATTCCTCTGAAGTGAGGAATAAGAGGCATTTTGGCCACAACATTTGTTTTGGTCAATTATGTGCATCAAGAGCAAGAGTTTGTATTGGGCTGGAAGTGAAGTGAATTGGATCTTTAAAACACAATTTGAAATAGAAAACAATTTGTAAAACCAAATATGAAAAAAAAAAATTATAATCAAGAAATATAAAATCTAAATAAAAAAAAAATAAGATAAGATAAATAAAATATGAATAAAAGTTTTTTTTTTTTTTTTTTTTTTAAACATGAGAAAAAAAGCTAATTTACTCTAAAAACCTGCATTACTTCTCGGATTTCCATTTACAAAAACTGTTATTTGCTTGCAACAATAATGGGACAAAATTCACTCCATAGTTTCAACGGTACAAATGTTAAATTAAGAAAGACATGGAAGACTGAGTTAGATGTTAAAGAACTGGACGGCTGCCCACAGGCCTGACCTCCAGTCCTGGGTTAAATAAGACCATAGACTATGCGTAAAAAACAAAAAAACGTATCTTGCTCAGGATAAAAGAATCCAGTCTTATGATGTCTGTAAAAATGAGAACACCTTGAAGTGAAAGAGTCAGTGCAAACCACCAGTGATTCTCTGCTACCAAAATAAATCAGAGGTGTAGTTTGTTTGGACCAACGCAGGAATTCAATGGAAATGTCATGAGTCAGACAGGAAGTAAGACAAGATGGCAAATCAAAACATTTCCTCTGTTTGGAAAACACAAACAAAACATGGAGGAAAAAGCTTACTCACTGTTGTTTGTAATGAGCGTGGCGATGGCGCTGGTGGCTGCGATGAACACACTGGGAGAGGACGGGTGCAGCAGCATTGCAGCCATTAACCGCCTGTGAACAGGAGTCCTGACAGACAAACATCCAGATCTAATCAAACAGCTCTGAACTCATTCAGAAGACTTTTTCTAAACCTGACCTCTACGCCACCCACCTGCCCTCTAGCTCCTCTTCTGAAGGGTTTACTTGAGCTCCGTTCAACAGCAGATTATGAATGGCCCAGCTTGCTGCTTCCTGAAATGACCAAACGAGTCCAGCATTAGCCGCTTCCCTTCTCAAACCGCGGCGTCTGGAAGTTACAGGACCTCACCTGAACAGCCTGCTCAGCTGCATGGAGCTCCAGCGCGGTGCAGCAGTCTTCCATCCAGCCCAGGCCCATGTCCTCCACCTCCTCCATGCCTCTCTCTGCTTCCAGCTCTCCTTCCTCCAGACCCTGCTCAGCCACCGCCTTGCTCTGCACGATGGTTGCAGCTGAAAGGTGGCATCAAGGGAAGAATGAACTAATAAATGACCTACTAGTAAACAAAGGCTAAAACAAGGAAAAAAGAAAATCCAAATAGCAAATTGAATTTTAAAAGTGAGTCGCATCAAATAATAAAACAGAAGCTTAGATTAGCCGTTTATCTCGCTGACCCTGGAGGAGCTGCTGTTTAGATCCAAAGGGCTTTTAGAGATGCTGCAAAATATTAAAGCTACACTACAGATTCACATTAATCCCACTTGCTTTTAAAGATCATTCTTCCAAACAGCTGTTAGACTTGATAACGGTCTCTGCTCTGAACAAACATCACATTTCTATAGTGTTGTACCGATACCGATACCAGTATCGGACGGGGCCCCGATACTGCCCTAAAATGGTGGTATCGGTATCGGCGAGTACCAACAAATAGGGCACCGATACCATTTTGAGAGCCATAAGTTTATTCAACTATTGTCACCCACTCCTGTTAGGCAATACAAAGTTCTACTGGATTCACTTTGTATTAGATTTTTTCCTGCTTCACAAAGGTAGGAGCAGCTTGACAAGCCATGATGGCAATTATTTTACATTATTATGGTATCGGCCGATACTGCACAGCCAGGTATCGGGTATCGGTATCGGGGCCAAGAAATGGCATCGGTGCAACACTATATTTCTACATACCTGTTGTTTTGCAGCCTTATTTTTATTCTTGTGAAGAACGCCTTTTTATGTATAAACTTTCACATTTTCCTCAGTTTTTAAAACCGCTTCTTCTTTCTACACTGCTTTATTTTTTTATTTTGTTCTACTTTTAATAACTGAACTGTAAGATTTTTCCTATGTTGTAAACTTGATTCATTCTTTAGTGCCTCCGTGTTTTTTTTTTTGCCTGATCCTTTTGTGTTTCACTTTCCTGCTTGGAAAACCTGAACATTTTCCACTGTGGGAAAGTAAACTAAATTTATGTTCTCTGCTAATTTCAGATTTAGATGAATATATGACATGGTATTTTTGAAATAAATCTAACTATCTATGTACCTGGGGGAAGGAAAATATAAATCTCCCAGAGTTCCCTGAAAGAGAGCTGTACTAAAGAAGAACATATTTAGGTCCAGAAGTCCCAAAAAAAAAAAAAACATTAAAGAATATAAAATATGTTTAAAGAAGTTGAAAGTTTGAAAATTGAAACAAATAAAATATGGAAAGTAAATGTGAAAAACAGAAACTGAGAAAACAGCAAAGTCTAAAAGCCTTTTTTTTTTTTTTTATTAAAAACCTATTCAACGTTAAATTTCTAGATAGCTTTTTGTTTTAAATGTCCCATTTACAAAACATGTTCTTTGCCTGCAGCAAAAATGGGAAAAAAATGCAATTCCCTTAGAGTAATAAGGACAAAACATGAGGAATATATGTGAAAACATGCATATCGTCGCTGTCGGGAAAAAACCTTGTAACTTCCATTTTGGACTTTTTTTTTTTCATAAATTGATACGATGGGTCAGTCCCCACGTGTGAACATATGTTTTGGAAAATATTAACCAATTAAAAGTGTTGAAAAAAGGTTGGGACTTAATCTCGTTACTCCATTGGACTCTTCCGCTGTCGCTGTTTTTACAATTTCCTGTAAACTTTATGGTTTTGGACATACGAGGTTTCCGTCCGACAGCGACGAGATCATTTATGTATGGAGAAGAAGTAGGTCTGACTTCCAAAACCACCTGGGGACCCTGCTGGATTACATAATCTGACCAACTTTTATCCTTAAGAAAGTGGTGGACTCTGCCAGAAAATGAAAAGATTGTTGCTAGTGGGTCTTTTAACTGCATGATGATCCAAAACAAATGGCCACGTCACTGCAGGTAACAACTAAATCCTCAAACAGAAGCTGTGCTATGTGAGCTAAACAGAAAGAAAAGGGTGAGAAGACTGATAAATCAGACTAATTGTGGAATTAAATGTGTAATTTAGTCTGGCCCTGATGAATGAGACATCAGAAGATTGTTGATGAAAACAACCCGTTCTCTTTCAAACCATGTCTGTGCCTTTCGGCCAACGCTCTGACCAATGTGTGCAACTGACTGTGACATAGTAAGCACGCCAGCTGGTGGTGGGGTGTAAACAAACAGCCTGTCGGTAAAACGGCAAATACATCCTTCTCAAAAATGAATGAGCGTAGAGCCTCTTCCTGCTCAAGTTTCAACGAAAACCCCAAGTCTAATCCTTCCAAAACTGAGTCAAACGAGAACTGTTCAATAGTTGTTGCTATCTTCCTTGTTGTGTTTTCTCCAGCGTTGCGCAGCTTTATCGTCACGCCCAGAAAACCCCGCCCGCTTTGCATCCAAAAATTTAAAAAATCATCTCTGCGTTGTGATTGGCCCACCAGTTCTAGGGCCTGGGACATTAATCAAGGCTAGACCACTTTATTACTAATGAAAGCAGCTCATAACGGTGTCATTGGCTTCTTTTGCATGACAATCAGCTTCTCCACCCCACCTCTATCACCTTATCAGCCAAACTTATCAACCCAGCTTTTCCCTATGCAGTGTTAAACCAAAATGTTCCATCTTCTTTTTATTAACCAATGTAATAGTTTTATTAAACCCCTAATTCACCTAAACTCTGTCCCTGTCCTTTAAGTCTTACAGCAGATCCAAATTTAAACGATATAAGAGAGAATAGAAATATGGAGACACTTTAACCCAACAGGGTGAAGAAAAACTGTACTGTATTTGCAGCGTTTTGGTATAAAAGGGGGTTCACAGGAGGAAACTGTCAGTTCTCTTTCGGACCTCATCCCCATCATAGGGTGAGCAAGAAGGTGACTGTGATGGTTTCTCCCTGCGTTCACGCCTACAGTCACAACCAACAATCTTCCAAGCAGACATGACGCTTAATCTGCTGCGACTTCAAACCTTATTTCTTTCTTTTTATTTATCTTTTTTTTTTTTTGGTGGGCAGTAAACAGCAGCTAGGTTAATACCACGATCAAAGAAATATTTCTATGCAGGCCGGGCGCATTGCTGCCTCCCTCAGGACACTGGCTTGAGCATTACGCTGCCGTGCGTTATGCATAAGTTAGGCTGTTGTTGGACAAACAGTAAGCTCTGGACCCGTTATGAATACTCTAAATATACATCCAAACTTGAAAAAATACATAGAAAGTTTAGCGTATGCCAGCGTTTTAGGAGATTCTGGGACGTCAGGCATTCTTTGGCTAAATCAGCAAGGTGTGACAGGGTTACAGAAAGATACAACACCAATGCATGCCAGAGTCCAAGAGCCTTGATCTATGGGATGCTCCACCTTTTATACTAACTGACAGTGAATACTTTCTTAGTAAATACGTGACACAAGAACTATGTGTTTGCCACAAAGGCTTTTATCTGTTTACTGATGTTTTCCTAATTATGTGTAATCTATTGTTAAGTGACTTGTATGTCCTCAGAGGAACAATGTGTTCCAGCTCTCCACCACCCCATTTTCCACAGTTTGCAATGAGTTTGTGGTGATATGTTTTATAAGCCAAGGCTAGACTAAAAAGAAATGTTTAGCACTGTCACCACTTGCAAAATACCCACAAATTTCAGCCTACTAGCCTGCAGGAAATCCACTTAAAACAGACAATAATAAAAAATAAAAAAAGCCAGATTGAATATTTGTAGGGAACGTTTTTAATTTTTTAATGGAGTGGCAGTCTAGTGGCTAAGGCATAGAGCTTGGTATCCTGAGGTTCTGAGTTTGAGCCCCACTCCCACAGATTGCCACTCTGGGTCCCTGAGCAAGACCCTTAACCCCTGATTGCTCCCCAGGCTCCACACGATGGCAGCCCACTGCTCCCCAAGGGGATGGGTTAAATGCAGAGGTAAATTTCTCCAATGTGAGATCAATAAAGTTAAATTATTATTATTATTTATTAACCTGTAGCTATGCATCAGAGTAATTTTGTTTAGCTGATTATTTGTGTGGACTAACTTCTCAGATATCATTGATTTAAGTATATTCTGTAATCATTTCTCCTCACTCAAGTCAGCCAGGCAGGAGAGTGCAGCGGCTTGCAGGGCAGCGTTATCGGGAAACGTCTGACATGCTCTCAGACAGACTCTCTGGACTCCGTTCAGCACCAGGATGTTGTAGAAACTCTCTGCAGGAAAGAAAAAGTAATACAAAAAGATCTGAGTTAGAAAGAGGCTTCCTTTCACCTCATCAGTCATTAAAAAAAAAGACTAGCTTATCGAAGTGAATCAAATTCAAACACTATTGTATTGATTTGATGAGCAATGTTATCTAGCTCTGTCAACATGTAGGCAGATACTGCAGTTATTCATCAACAGGGGATAACAGCTCTATCTTTACTGCTTTGCTACTCAGACAACAAAACAACAACTTCTCTAATAGAAAGAATAAATATTTGTACAAACATGATTTTAAATATGAATTAGCTTTTCAAGTCTCTCTATATATTTGAGGTGTTTCTTGTTTCAAGGAACTTTCAAGAACCAATTTCCTCTCATTCAAGGACCCTGTGTGGCAGCATGAACCTACTTCTACCACTGAATATGTGGTCAATGAATGATTTTATCACCATGCAAAGTCAATATTAAGAAAATGGATCAGAATTAGAAGTGGACAATAATTCAATTTCTCGTTTTATCAACAGTAGGCTAACAGGAAAGGGTTAATGAGAGAGAGGGAGAGACATGCGGCAAAGGACCACAGGTCGGATTCGAACCCAGGTTTGCTGCGTCGAGGATTAAGGCCTCTATACATAGGTCGTGCGCCATAACTGCTGCACCACCTGCATGCCCTGCACTACTTTTAAGACGTTTTTAACATATTTTAAATATTTTAATATACATTACAGTCTATAATTATGGCAGATTTTATGTAGTTTTGTCCGTTTTATTTTTAAAAGCAAATATTTCTAAACCATTATATTGGAGCAATTTCATAATTTTAATTTTAGCGAAAATGCTTGTTATAAATGTGTACAGGATACAGTTGTAAACATTAATTGAAGACATGCTCTGGTTTATATAATATATAATTTGCCTAGAGGTTAGAGTAGGGCACTTTGAGACGGTTGCAAGTACCAAGTTCGATCCCCACAGCCTCCACTCTGGGTTCCAGAGCAAGACCCTTAAACCCACACTGCTACCCATGCACCGCACAGTGGCAACCCACTGCTCCTCAAGGGGATGGGTTAAATGCAGAGAGGGAATTTCCCCATTGTGGGACAATAAAGGGACTTAGATTTACATTGAAAAATATATCATGATACAAGTTTTGGCCATATCATCAAGAAAGTTAATTGACTGTAGCCTAGATACTTCTCAACAACACACGGCTGACGAATGAGCAGTAATGCAACATTTAGGCTTAATTAAAAAGCTTGATAAAAGCTACAAACGCTCACTGGGGCAATTTAGAGGTTAATAAATAAAAATCTGTCAAGTCTGAAAGATCAAATTGTACGAAATGATGGATTTGAAAGGAAATTGCCTGAACACATTATTACTCTGTTATAGTTCAATATCCTGCTTATATGAAGTAGAGTCAGTGTAAATTAATGATAAAAAGTTAAAATAATGAACATGTTGTAGTCTGTAGAAAAAAAAACTCAACTTCCTTGGGCAAGCGATTTATGCTGACAGTTTTTGCATTTCCTTGGGCTGGCATTACATGCCAGCAGCTCGATGATTGACTCATTGTGAATTTAACTGGGGGTAGACTGCACCCTGGATGCAGGTGATGTTATGTCAACTATGCTGAGTACAAAACACAAAAGAATCAAGTGATGAAAGAATAACAAAACATTCAAGGAGTTTGAAGGATGGCTGTCTTTCCAGGCCCTTTACCTTAATTTGTTTTTGTATTTACAAATTATTTCAAGAAGCCTTGGGAACCCTGTTTGGGCACTCAAATGAGCTTGACCTATCAAAACCTTATAAATCCAGAACAGCATAATCTGGACTTTCTGAAATGGTTTAATGGCACAGAAAGCTTTGTAAATCTAAACGTGTGATTTTAAAGAAATTGGTTTTAAAAAATCTCTAACAAATAAAAATAATTCTAGGAATCTTTGCTGACCTCTAGCAAGAAAATGTCCGTCTCATTTTATCTCAGACAGTGAGACGAAAAATAAGGTTTTTGTGTGAAAATTTTAAAACAGAATTTTTTTTTTAGGGTAGATGACATGAAACTAACAATGAAATCCAGGCCCAGTGACTAACGTTGGCAGAGAAGAACAATTATAAAACGGGGAAAACAAGCCACTCCCTGCTTCCTTGGATGCAGGGCTCTGACCTGAAGTGAACCTCCTCAACAGCAGGCAGGCCACCTCCTGCAGCTCCTCCACCTCAGGGAAGGCGTCCATGGCAGAGATGACTATGCTGTAACACCGAGTGCCTCCTGACATCAACACCTCCACGTTACTGGCTGCATAAGAGACGCATGTAAGCAATATGCAAGGTAGAGTAGATACTAAGAGAAGATTTCATAACAAACTAACAAGGTGTGAACAGATACAGACTTATTCACAAACTTATCCAACATTGATAAAGTGATGCAGTTAAAGCCTGGAAACACCATCCATGATGGTCTCCAGGTTTGAGATAATCCTTGTAACTCAAACTGAGAGGGACTCTGTCAACATCAGAGTGGAAAATAAGCTGGAACGGTCCAGAACTGCATGCTAGTAAAAGTTTTAGAAGTGGTGCACCGTTCTGGAAACAACTGCTTAGTGTTATTTTGTACCGCTAACTTCGGCAGACACTTACAGCCAATCTGTGATTGTAGCTCAATCAAGTTTAGCTTCATGTCTGCACAATCTCAGCAGCTTATTGCTCTCCCAACATCTTCTGTGCGCTCAGCTGTCTCTGCCTGGTGACCTAATAAACTATTTAAAGCTAAAAATGACTTGCCCAGTGCAAAAATTATTTTATCTAACTTCCAAAATAGTATTTCTTCCAGTTCACATGTAGTGATGCCACACTTACTTTAATTTCTGCAAGGAATCTACATGATATCCAAAATAATTAAATTATATTTCATGGTTATTTTTGGATATAAACCCATATAAAAAAAAGCACACATACTTTCTTGTATGAGTCTTTCACATAGTTCCTGTTTCTATCTATTCAAATAAGACGTAAATGTTTGCTTGCATAGTCACAAAAAGGTTTTTTTTTTTTATTCATTTATTCTGGGTATAGCCAAAAAAAGTTACAATCCCTGCATAGTTTGATCTCCATAATGCCAGTAAAGGCTTTTTAATCAACTAAAGGATGTGAAGAAATACTGACAGGGTTTTATTGTTCAATATTTTAAAGCTGGATTTAACAGTACGGAAATGATCACATTTATTCTGACGGTAAAGAATGTGCTTTTTGTTATTTTAAATGAATCAAGTATTTCATAGTAAAGCTAAGAGCTCAAAAATCTAAAATACAAAAGTGTAATTTAGCTGTTTTATATATGGGTTAAACTGGTCTATATCTAAGAAAAATAAAATGTTTGATCTAATATTTTAAAAACACAGACAGGGTGTAAGAAAACAATACCAGCTAGTTATTTTTACATACAGTCCCAGCAAGAATGTAAAACTACTTTCAGCACTGGACATACATGCAATGAAATACAGTAAACCAACATATTCTAGAGTGTGACGGCTAAGTCAATAAATAAGGTTTGTTTGCTCATATCCTCTCAGTTCCAGACCGCAGCGTCCACCTGATGAAGTCAACTTAATTACAGCTTCGCCTGACTCGCTGCAATCTTCCTGAATGTTATGGACTCAACCATGTTGATTGCTTGTTAACCTCTAGAGAGCAGTAGTACCGTAGCTCGCCACTAGGAGGAGTGATACCGTGCTAGCGTGGTGTGTAAAGGGCTGGTTATACTACCGCAGCAGTGTCTTGCAGTGAGCTTGTCGCAGGTATGACGCAGATACTTTTGATTTATGCCCAATATTGAAGCGTTGTCCACGCTATGTTATTCCACGCCACAGGGACAATCATGAGCTAGCTGTGGGTCTAGATACGGCCGAGGCGGTAAGGAAGTGGGGGCAAGTTTGTACGACAACAGAGGGACGTGAGGGCCCAAAAAAGCGGGGATCCAGGTGGAAAAAGGGTCCCAGTGTTGTTGCACAGGTACCAAAAAGGAAATACGCATAGTGTAGAGCGGATGTAGATTTGAGAAACAAGGTCGTCTGCGTGTGTGTCGCAGTGAACGCAGATACTCTGGTGCACCTCTCCAAAATTGTAGGTGACCGCAGATAGTGCCGCAGACAGGAGGCCTCTGATCGGTCAAATCTACATCCGATCTACACTATGTTCATTTCCTGTTTGGTACCTTACCGGCTTGTTTTGTTTGTATGACCGCCATAGTGAAAAACGATGTGCGAAGAGCGATGTGCGCGCGGACACTGGGACCCTTTTTCCACCTGGATCCCCGCTCTTTTTCGCCCTCATGTCCCTCTGTTGTCGCAAACTTGCCACTTGCGTTTTCCACTTCCTCACTGCCTCGGTCGAATCTACACCCACAGCTAGTTCGTGATCGTCCCTCTTTATCACGCTTCAAAATTGGGCAGAAATAAAAAATATCTGCCACAAGCTTACTGCAACGCACCACTGTAGGAATATAACCAGCCCTTCAGAGGCCTCCTGTCTGCGGCACTGTCTGCAGTCACCTACATTTATGGAGAGGTGCCCCAGAGTGTCTGGTAGTAGTATTAGGAAGAATCATGGTCGTACCTGGGCCAGCCAGAGGGAGCAACACTTTGATGGCCTGTATGAGAAGCTCAGGGCTGTCAGAGAAGTTCTGCAGAGCTGCAAGAACCACATGGTGGTCCTGGTTTTCCACAAACTCCAGTAGATGATCATCACTCACTAAGAAAGAAAAAAAAGGAACAAATAAATATTCTGTGATTATTAATAAACAGTCATTTACTTTCAGCTCCTATAGATGTAAAAGAATTTCATAAACAGGAGTCCTAACGTTCTTCTACACCTTCAGGTATTTCTAAACAAACAATGGCTCACGACATGGCGTACCATTATAATTTAATAATAAATCATTTCATGTAAATCATCAGTATGCTGACTCAGCACTTTGCAGAAGTGGCCCATTTCTGCAAAACCTCTTCAGGCTCTCATATTTCAGATCAACCTCACAGGTGGGTTCTCACAGTTTTCCAAATAAGACACTTTGCATAAACCAAGCATGTTTTACTCTGGAAAAAGTTCCCGAACTGTTGTGGTTCATTTTTAAGCAAACAAGTTAAGCCACAGTACGTTTAAACATCACTTAAATGAGGCCGCGTTTACTCTTTTATCAATATTAAAGGAAAAGCATGCCGTCCCACCTCTGTCCAGCAACAGCTGCAGAGCTTTGCAACCTTGGAACTGGAGCTCCTCATTGGTAGGAAACGTCTTCATCACCTGCACAACCAGACTGAACACATCCTCCTCTTCTTCAAGAACCAGCAGAGGAACTGGATCTGTCCAAAGATGTCACAAGTCAAAGAGCTGTTAGTTGTTAATATGTGCGTCAGAAGGTTATTAAGAGGGGAAAAAAACTTTGTTCTAAATGTCATCTAGAAATCAGGTTTCACAGAGTTAAAGAAAAAAAAAAATCCTAAAAAAAAAAAAAAAAAAAAAAAAGAGTAGAAATAGTGGTGTTCCACAAGATCCAGTACTTGGCTCCAATGATTTGGAATGCAGGCAAGACATTAAAACCAATAATGTTTATGATGGATCTGTATGAAACTTAGCAAATTATTAGTAAAAACTTCCTAAATGAATTATTTTTTTCCAGCTTTATTCTTTTCAAATGTTATATTTGAAATATATCTTAATTGTATTTTTTCCAATTAGATTTTCTACAGATATTATATTTTTGCTGTTTTTACTTTTTGTTTTTCAGATCGAGTTTTATTAAATGTATTTTATTCAGAATGTGTTTTACTTATTCCATTCTTTTCACTTCAAGCCAAATACCAACACTCAGGAGTAAAGAGAATGTGACCTGGAAAACGCAATTTGAAAAGTATAACTTTTGAAAAACTTTAACTGAAATAAGTAAAATTGAAAAAATAAGATAAAAAAAATCTGAAAGACAAGTAAAAAAAAAAACAAAAATGAAAAAGATTAAATATAAAGATAAAAACTGAAAAAAACAAAAACAGGGGAGCTTCGGGGACGCAGTGGTTAGCGCACATGACCCATGTATAGAGGCCTTAGTCCTCGAGGCGGCTGAACCTGGGTTCAAATCCAACCTGTGGTCCTTTGCCGTATGTGTCTCCCCCTCTCTCATACCCCCTCTCATGTCAGCCTACTGTCCAAAAAAAACGAGCCACTAGTGTTGAAAAAACTCAAACAAAAACAACTAAATCTAAAACAAAAAAGTAAACAAGTTGGTCTTAAACCTTTTTTTGAGTAAAACATTTTTCAAAGTTTAATTCCTAGATTGTCTTTTTAAATTCTATTTAAAAAACAAATCTATTTTCTTGCAAAAATAATGGAAGAAAATCCACTCCATACTGTTCTATCAATCCTCTGAAATCACAGGGAAGACAGACACAAGAAAACTCCAACGATAAGCCTGGAGAATCTCTAGAGATCCATAGCTAAGGTGGGATAGATCCAGGGATTTATGCACCTGCACTTCAAAGGACACAACTTTGAGGACCGTGGTGGTTATGGCCATTGAGCAGAACACACTGTGCCACCAGCTAAACACAGTAGTGGCCGTGTGATACAATGGAAATGCTCTCCATCAGCCAGACAAGGAGATGGAAGGAAAATAAGCTTCAACATTTAACAGGACCACAAAACTAACCATAGAGCCAGAAAAAAAAGAAGTGGTCAAGAGTAAAGCAGGCCGAGTCAAGGTCCAGACCAAAATCCAGTTCAGAATATATACCGTAGCAAGAAACTCTCCATTTGATCTGATGGGCTTTGAGAAATGCTGAAACAAGATATGAGCTAAAGTTAAATTAACTCTACTTGTGCAAACATGGTTCAAAGAAATCCTTCCAGACTTCAAGCTGTACTCGCAGCTGAAGGCGGTTTAAGCTAAATCCAATGAATACTACACACTGAATGTCATATTTAGAAATTAACTGAAAGTCAAATTGGTTTGTGTGCTACTTGTGTTGACTTTTAACACATATTCTCTGACAAATACAATGAAATCTCCATCGGCTAAGCATTTGATACCTTGAACAGACCAGTTAAGCCACAAAACTTCCACTTTCACAATTCCATAGTTAAGTGCTGAATAAGTCCTGACAATTGAAAACATGACCGTGTAAATTCCCCCGCTGCTTCAGATCATTACATTTAAGTTAAGGCCTCTGAGAAGGAAATGGTCGACCAATAATAAAAAAACAAAATAAAAAATAAAAACACCTAAAAATAAAAATGTAATCAGGAAATTAAACTGAAAAACTTCTTGTTCAAAAAAGTATTTTGAGAGGAACTTTGCTGCTTTCTCAGAATTTTTTGTTCATTTTTTCAATTGTTTTTAAACTGATTTGCATTCTTCTCAAACTGCATTTTACTTTAAGGCCAATACAAACACTTGTGCTCAGGCAAAAAAATGTTGCCAATATCCTTGCAGGCCAATAGAAATGCATCTTTGCTCGTCACTCCAGAGGAAAGCCCGCCCCTAAAAGTGAAGAGAATGTGATTTGCAAGAGAAAACTGAAAAGATTCAATAAGAAAAAACATGAGAATCAAATAAGGAAAGAAAAATTGAAACATATTCTAATCTAAAAATAATTGCAAAGTTGTTCTCAAGAACTTATTGTGATTAAGCTTTTCAGGGTTTAATTTTTTGGATGACATTTCAATTCCCAAAACCTGTTCTCTGCTTGCAACAGCAGCAAAAAGCCTTCATACTTGTGGATTATTAATATTTACAGATCAGCAAAGACAAATCATCATGATAAAAAAATAGAAAGACTGTTCTGAGAAAGAGTTTAAATTGGTTGCTCTAAAAATAGAGTTAAAGCGTCACATTGGCCCAGAAGAGGGAAGCCCCACATTCCAGGCGTGCAACAAGCTTTGTCACCAGGAAGAACTCGACCAGTGAGATCACTCCTGCACGGCAAGTGAGAACAATTTAAAACTTGTAATCTTCCAAAGGACAAGGAACAGGAAAACAGAGTTTTGTCAGATGGTTCTATGAGCCATCCTTAAAATGATCCTTATTAACTTTAGATTAATTTAACAATCAAACACTTTACTTGAAATATTCTGGTTTTTCTGTTTTATCAGCATGTTTACAGGAATATATGAAGCATATTTGTGAGGTCAGACACTGATGTTGGATGAGAATGCTCAGCTCATGCCTTTTTATTCCAGCTGTGTCTTATCAGCTTGGTAAATACTCTCTGAGCCTTTCTAGTTCTTTCAAAGCAAACTCACTCATTCATGTTTTTGTGGACGTCTGTCTGACGTCTGTCTTTTACTGGACCTAAGGGACAGAGCCAGATCTCTGACCAACCAACCCCCCTGTGTGATTTCACCTGGACTACTGCTTTGTGGCAGAGCTGCTGTCGTTTTATATCCCTTCCGCTTAGTTCTTACTAAAGATAGACCGATACGTCTGCCGGCTGGTGTTTGTGGGCTAATATATGTTTTCATCTGTTAAAAAATTAATTAATTAACATTCCTTTTTAGTTTAAACTGAGAGTTATGTAACATTTATTATAATTGTGTGATTGTTAATATATAAAAAGAAGAAGAAAAACAATATCTGCTTCAAAAATCTGCCCCCCCTGGAAAAAAAAATAAAAAAAGTTATGGGTAAGTGTTGTAAAAGTTATGAGCACGCTGAAGCATGCTGGCACACATCGACATACGGCGAGTATGCCAGCGTATTCCATATGTAGGCCATAAGATAAGGCTAAGTTATCTGATCATTGCCATGCGTTAAATGTACGGTACTCATAAGTCATTACCCATTACGCTGCCGTGCGTTATGCATAAGTTAGGCTGTTCTTGGACATAAGTTCTGGACTTGTTAGGAATACGCTATATATACGCCCAAAATTGAAAAAATACATAGAAAGTTCAGCACACCCCTATCAATAAGATCAAAAAGGCCTGGGAATACGACTTAAATATCTTACTGTCAAACAATGAATGGGAAACTATTCTCAAACTAACCAATACATCATCTCTATGCGCTCGTCACTGTTTGTTACAATTTAAGGTCGTACACAGAGCCCACTGGTCAAAAGCTAGACTTTCAAGTATCTACCCGAATGTGGACCCTCACTGTGATAAATGCTTGATCAGGGAAGCCTCCCTCATTCACATGTTTTGGACATGCCCAAGCCTGGAGGATTTCTGGAGGGAGGTCTTCCGGACTTTGTCCATAATTCTTGAGATCGATTTAAAGCCCAACCCTTTGGTTGCTATTTTTGGCACCACTGGCGAGGGCAGCACCCGCCTCTCACCAACTCAATGTCATGTTGTGTCTTTCACCTCCCTGCTGGTTCGGCGAGCTGTTCTGATGAGATGGAAGGATGCTGCCCCGCTCACCCATACTCAGTGGCTTAAAGATGTTATGTCATGCCTTACTCTCGAGAAAATTCGTTACTCAATAACTAACTCAGTAGAAAACTTTTTTACTGTGTGGGGACCATTCTTGAAGTACTTCCATCACTATAAATTGAGATGAAGATCTCTCACTGTCTACCTTCCTACCTATGTTGAATTTGAATTCCAGTTAGGTTATAAGTCTTTGGTGTTATCCAGGAACAGGGACCGACTGTACTATAACTGTTACTGCTGGTATGGGTTAGGGGTTTTGTTTTGGTGGTGTTGCTTTCACATTCTGACTTTTTTTTTTCCTTTACACTCTAGACTTGGATGTAAACATCAGTGTACAATGTTGTATGTTAAAATGAAAATTCAATAAAAATATTCTGAGAAAAAGAAAGTTCAGTACATGCCAACGTTTCAGGAGATTCTGGGACCTTGGGCTATGCTGGCTAAATCGTCAAAGTGTGACAGGGTCATTTAGACTGATGTCATAATAATCAGTGTCGGCCGATCTTCAGCTCTTAGATATCATTAACCCTGGCATGAGGCCTAATGATATGGGTCAGTGAATGGATACTTCTGTCCATGCGGTGTACGTAAACAGGAGATCTTTCCTGTGTATTGATCACTTACCCGATCTGAGCATTAGTGCCAGGGCTCTAAATCCAACCACGGTCACTTCAGGGTCGGCAATATGCTGAGAAAGGACCTTCAGGATCTGCCTGGAACATAAAAATCGGAACAATAAACCATAAGAACTGTAAATAGAGCTGCATCACGTTGGAAAATTATGTGTTGGTATTTTTATAAGGGAAGATCAAAACGGCATCTGGTTTAACAAATACAGAATTTCCTGAACCCTCTCCTTTTCTAGCTGAGCTTGCTTTACTCTTTAAGACCTAAAATATGGTGAGAAATATAATCTGATATCAGACTTAGGTTTTTGTTCCTCTTCCCTCCATTAAAGACATTTGATCCCATCATCATCATCGTCAGTGACCCCTTACACCCCCACCATGGACTGTTCTCCCTGCTGCCCTCTGGGAAGAGACTTTGTAGCAAATTCTACAACAGCTTTTTCCCCCACAGACTGTTGAACTGCTGATCTCTAAGCTGGACTCTGCATCATATTATTTTGCACTACCAATGTTGCCGAACTTTTATAATTGTTTTAAATCAGACACAACTCAATGTTTCTACAGCATTTTGCACCATATTTATTTTGCACTGCACTTTTTCATATTAATTCCATTTTGCACCTTTATTTAAACTGGCTTCTTTTTCTCCTACACTGTTTAGATACTGATCACTGCTGCACTTTTTAATGGTAATGTTTATCTACTCCAGCTGCAATATCATTACAACTGTTGTAAGCTGTATGCAACAAAAATTTCATTTTGTATACAGTACACTGTTGCATACAAAATGACAATACAATTTGTCTTGTTGCTGCAATGTATGAACCAAAACAACAATTCTCACTCGGAACCAAAGCCTGAACTCATCACATCACTTATTGCATTGATTTGCTTGATTCATTTTATGAAGTCAAAATTCTGCCCAAATTTCAAATGCGTGATAAAATATATATCAGATATAACTGGTTTTGCGTGTTCGGGCGGAACTCTTTGCAGTTGAGCGTAAAGCCGTATGTTCGGAAAAGAAGCTTGAAGCAGAGAGAAAGCTAGAGAATGGGAAAATGCTAATTTCAACAAAAGTGGCTGGAAATCGGGACAAAGCTGCAGCCTGTCGTGATTATATATATATACATATATGTATATATATATATATATATATATATATATATATATATATATATATATATATATATATATATATATATAAGAAGTCATGCATAAAAACACTCTAAATTCATGTGGAAAGTAGTTTACATACATGTGTGTCTTTTAAATAAGAGTGCTAGTATCAGTATTTTTTTACACGTGAACTTTTGACAAAAATCTGACTTGATAGATTTAGCATGCAGTGAAACTGCTTTAGTGTCGGGTCTTTATGAATGAACCCTTTTCTGTTACTTAAAATAAAATGTTAATCTGTCCAACAAACCATCTCAGAACTTTTAATCAGTTTTTAGTTTAGTTTAGTTTAGTTTCATAGCTGTTGTTTTTGGATAAAGTAAAACTGACGCATGTTGGTGAGTCAGAAAACAGATGCTTGCCTAAATTTCCTTATTTCCACTGTTGGAGCAATAAAGTTGTTTTAAACAATTGGGACTGAAAGGAAAAAGGCTGAACAGGAAGGTGAGCAGATCTTCTCACCAGGCAGGGTGATGACAACCATAAAAATAAGTGCATTGTGAGAAGTAATAAAAGACTGAGCTGGTCGTTAAATTATGGAAAAAAGTGGGAAGACCCAGGTGGTGGGGGGGGCTTAATGTCTAAGGTTCTAAAGAAGGCTTGGTTTTGTCCAACGAGGCAATAATCCCACAGAGAAAACAGAAAATACCCGAGCTGCTTCTGTCATCTGCTCTGAAAAAAGCTCACCATCAGAGAAAGACTGCTTCATTGCTGTCATTACTGCTTTTATGGCAGCTAAAATGCTAACTTGTACATTTATAGATGGGTTTCTGTCTCACACAATGTCAGCATAACTGCAAACTTTAGGGGTTTTTTATCTCTTAAATTGATGGAAAAGGTGAAAGGTTGCTCCTGTTACGAGCAACCTTTCATCTAGATCACGTAGAAAACAAGGCGGGCATCTGCTAAAACCTAAAGTAAGACGAAGAAAGAAGCTGCGCTTTTAATTTAGAGGAGGAACAGACTCCTTTGGGAAGCAGCCATTCAAAATGGCCCTTCCCAGTCAAACGCCAGCCGAATGGCAGTCCACCTCCCTGCAACTAGAAATCCCCTCCAACTTCCAGCCAGTTGAGTGACCCCCTCTACCACATTTTTTACTCTGACTCCACCCTTCCACTGAATTACAGGGTCTGACCAGGAAATGACGCTTCTCTATAGATCTTACTGTCCACAAATCATGACAGAAAGAATATTTTAGTACAAAGATTGCACTCACTCAAGGAAAGTGGGGAAATTTTGAATGGCTCTAACTGTATAACAGTGGTGAGAGGAGTGTTTCATTATTATCTGCCATTTTACATAATATAATCCCACCTACAGGAGCCAATTAGTCACTTCCTTTATTTAAATTTAGACCATACTTTCTAATGCATTGTCACCAACAGATGGCTGATCCACACACTGCTGCGGATTATTCTCTGATATTAGGCAGCTTTATATTTCCAGTTAGCAACTGAGAATCGAAACCAAGAATGGAAAGTAAAAGAATTTAACAATTAAGAAATAATTTAACTGACTGGTTTTGATTGATTCTTGATTTTCAAAGCCAAAGCGACTTAGAAGCATCATAGTTGTCTCATATTTGTTTTTTGTGACCCGATAGCTAACCCATCTAACGCTGATTGAGGTACTAACCCATGTAGCCAAAGTTCTGCTTTGCTCAGAGACCTGTTGCTGTTTAACATAGTTTGCAGCGGCTGGTGTAAATTTCATCAGCTGCGTGGTTTGCATCACAATGCCTGTGTTTTCCCCCTTTTTATAAAGTCCCCCTAAATTTCCATCATCCACTTTTTTTGTTGTTTTTATTCTTTTTTTTTTTTTTTTATCAGATAAAATCATCCAGTAGAAAAAGCAGTGGGCTGCCACACGTGTCACTGACTCCAGACCAGATAGTCTGAATTTTCTGTTGCATGGAGGTAGTGAATAAAAGAATGAAATAAAATAAAAATAAAAACAGGGCTATATCTTATAGTTTAAAGAAGTGGTTCCCAAATAATGTAGAAGGAAGTTACTTGTTTTATATTAACATGAATTTTCTTATTCTTTGTTATTTAAAGAAGATTGTAGTTTATTTCATAGCAATATATAACTTACTGTAGTTGACTTTTCCTTGTTTAACAGTTTAAAAGTTAAAGTGGGGGGGTGGGTTATCTTTTGGTGCTAAAACTATCCTGTGAACCAGAGGGGGGCTCAGAAAAGTTAAATGTTTGAGCCACTGGTCTGCTGCAGACCTCTGGTCTAACAGGGGATCCTATCTCAGTACGGCTGAAGCTAAAAGTGCCAAAGCTCCATTTTTAAATCATTGTTAAAGTAAAACTGTAAAAATAAGTACAACATAAACAATGAGTTACAGTTTCTTTGGAGCGCATATAATCATAAGAAACTCAATCAGTGTTATGTCTTCAGTACAGGAGCCACAAACAGGGGCCAGGACCAGTTCTACGGAGACAAGGGCCCCTGTTGGCCCCGTCTAGGACCGGCCATGATGCAGACTATTGCAAACATTCCAGCTCAACTAATACTGCAGCAAGAACTTTGTGTTTGCAGTACTGCTCACTCTGATGTCTGACCAAGAGGATGTTCTTCACTTACTGGTGCAGTCCCAGTACCTCCCACTCCCCGCTGGCCTGCAGGGGTCTGGTAAGCTCCTCCAGTGTGTTTGGGCATATTTCAATGAGCTTGCAAAGCAACGACAAGCCCACCTGAGGAAACAGAAAGCAGCTTTATTTGAAATCATTTCGACTAAATGCAACAACGAAAAAAAAAAAGGAATGGCATTTAGTGAAAGAGGAATCATATCAGATTTTTCTCCAAATGACTCAGTGGTTTCACTTTCAGGACTCTTTGGAAAAGCCAGAACAGTTTCTGATGTCTGTAACTCATACCTTGATAAGCAAAGGTATAATGTATATTAAGGTTTAACATAAAAACAACTAAAGATGGGTTACCTGCTGGACTCCTTTGCTGCTCATATAAGATGAAAGTACCACAGTAAGGGGAAGGTGAAGGTCTTTGTCTTTAAACAGCTCAGCCGCTGCAACAAAGAGCATCAGACCACACAGGTTAGCTTTAAACAGAGAACTGCTTCTATTTTTATTTGGACTGAAGAATAAAATGTTTCACGGAGATGAAAGATTTAACAAATAGACTAAGAGTTATAAGAGGAAATAGTTCTGAGAATAAAGGCAAAAAAAAATGTCCCCACAGTGTTATTTATGGAGAGACGCATTTTACAGCAGGATAGATAAGTCCAACTATTAAAGCATGACACATAGTTTAAGGATAAATCTATTTTAATATGCATAATTTTTACTTAAGTCCAGATATCCAACAGCATCCAACTAACCTGAAGAATAGACACATAAACTCTGTTAAAACATGAAGTGTTGTTTGCTCTGAGCCAGGTCTCTACAGTTAGGTACGCTCAGATCCGGTGTTCTGTCAGCTCGGCATACCGCATCAGACCAGCATAGCCGTATGCATGCGCACGTGTATTAAGGGCAGATTAGACTTCTGCAACCGCACACATCAAATGTCGCTTGGGTTGCTTGTACCAGTTTTGATGGTATGCTTCTGCACCACCGGTCTGGAATTTCTAGGGACGCACAGCAGTTTCCCACCAAAGCACTAGGGGGAGCCTATTCTAGAACTCATGAGAACCTCGACAGATTCTACTTCCGAACCTCATCAATTAGCCTTTCGTCGTAGTTGTCCGTTGTAGTTGTTCTTCGGTTTTTAAAAAGGGCGTGCCCCAGCACCAAATCTAGAAGGACGACCACACAGACAGCCAGAAAGGCATACCGAGGACCAATCACAGCTGCTCTTTGTCTGCACACTTCCGCTTGAGGTCTGCGCGGGTTTGCCACCGTCCGACACCTAGTCAGGTTTTTTATTAGGTGCCCGACGATGGATGCAAAGCCTCTGCAAGGGGGGGGGGGCATGGTCGCGCACAGATTTGACAATGCAGAGGCTATGCATAAATTGGCCTTTACTGCCGCATGGAAGAGCCGTCAGATTGCAAAAGTTTAAAAAAAAAAGAACCAAAAAACAGTAATTACGCTTTTTTTGTACATGACTAAAGGGATACACGCCCGTTGAGGTACTTTAAAGTGTATTTAGAGATGGGTCTTGCTGCACCTGCAGCTATCTACAAAACGCGTGCAAAACACACCTCATGCCCAACCAATGGATGATATTGATTTGGACAAAACGTCACCCCGGATACAGTGTTTTGGCGGAGCAGAAGGAAGATAATTAAAATTAAAGCCACAAGTGGCATTGTGCGGCCCTCGCACTCGCA